ATACCATTCTGACCAATCATCTCCAGACACCCCCCGAATCTCCCCAGAGCTAGACAATTTTATTACCCTCCAACAACAACCCTACCACCTTAACACCCCGACCATAAACCAAATCTCCTTCACTACAAATTCATCCAATCCCCCTACACCCTCTTCAAATTATACTGAATCATTAGCACCATCATCCACATCAACTGAATCCTCACTCAACACTAATAGAGCTTACCGCACTTTTAAAAGAAAATTCCCCAACCATCCTTTCCCAGCAAAACCAGGAACAGCCCGTGAATACATCAACCACCCCCAGCATACTAACACTAGAGAATTTTTAGCTATCACTTTACCCTCATTTCCACAATACACCTTAAACACCCCTCATGACGCTAACGAAACACGCAACTTTGTAGACGAATACGTTTTAATGCCCACTCTCTCTTGGACCTCATACTATCATTTCACTAACCCTCTTTGCTTACCTTTAACCAACACTTCCATCGATATAGACCGAAACAAAGACATGCTATATCGACTAACTACACCACTCACCGCTAGACAGTTTACTTATGTAGGACATAAAAAATCACTAAAAATACACACTGCACCTAGAGCTAATGAATATACACTAGAATACTACGATCACAACATCATCAGAGCTAACCAAGATCAATTCTTAGACGACGATCGCTTCGCTAACCCACAAATCACCGAGAAATTTTTCATCAAGACACCATATGTATTTACACTAAACATCTTCGACCGAAAGTTTGATCACATTATTTCAGAAGCACTAACAAGCACACAAGCGTACGAAAGTTTTAAAGAACGCTTCCAAATCTTTTCACTAACCTTTCATTTCCTTGCACCACACGAAAGAGATTTACACTGCTCACACGATATTATGTTGCGAACTAAACAAACACATACATACAGTTACTATCGTTTCATCCAAAATCACTTTGACCTCCACACACCCTCTAGACAACCACACCATCGCTTTCAATTCATCAATTCAAAATACACTTCACCGTATTTCCTAAATTTCACATATTGTATTAAAGATACTAACCTCCATGGTATTCTCCGTAACTATGACCCCATAACCCAAATGTATATTTTCTGCCCCATCACCAAGACCTTCAACGCAGAAGAATCCCGACCCTTCCTTATCCCGCACGAGTTTGTACAGCCTATAGAAATCCCAATTTTAGAATTCATCCACAATACTAAATTTAACCACAAATTATATAACTTAATCCAAAACACACCTTATGAGTTTGCAGTAGGCACTGAAGAACTAACCACTATTAAGGCACTTCAATTGCTTTGGCCACTGCTTCAAACTAAAAATATCATCCGCATCTTAGCTAAACTACTAACAACTTCAGAACTAATTCACGATATCTTCCCCCACGGTTTTTTCCCCGACGACTAACAGGTAAGTATGAATTAAATGAATATTACTAACTAATTAAAATATTAAAAAACTCACCATTCCTTATTCATGTTTTCTTTAGATTTTTAGCCTTCATCTTCGATCATCTGAAAAATTTACAAAAAGAAAAATAAAAAATAGCAAACTTCTTCAAAACTGTTTAAAACCCTTTTAACTTTTGCACCAACAATTAAATAAATATAATACCAATGCAGTAAATTAATTTATAAAATTTTCCCCCAAAGCAGTAAATCTACATATGATGAAAATTTGTATCTTAAAATTCCCCCATTACTAGCAGTAAATTTCCAAATTCTATGCAGTAAATTAATAAAATGCAATTGCAGTACTAACCTTTCGATATTTTCATTCATTCGCACAGAAATTCTATCCACACTCGCACAGCTCGCCCACGAAGAATTGTTTAAAATAATGAATTTCAGTTTCAAGTTTTCACACTCAACAACTCTAACATATAATAACAAGTTTCAAACTTTCCTTTAACCCGGTTGGAAAGGAATCATATACTAAACAAAACTAACCAACGCAGCTTACTAAATACCACAAATCATAAAATAACAGCATGACTAAGAAAAGGAAACCAACGGTACCCAAACCGGATTAAACCAGTTTAAAACTGGATAATTTATTCTTTTGAAGACTATTACAAAGTCTTAGAAAGAAATAATAAAACACAAAAAAGTCGAAAGACAAACCCATACCACAAACAATTTGCTTTTTAGTAAAAGTACATAACCAACAAAACATAAGTAAAACCACAACAAACCCAACATAAAATGTTGTCACATAACAGGACCCCTCATAAAAACCGCATGAAATCATACTCCCACACCTGGCCTAACCCACCAGGAAAGGACGTCCTGAGCATGCTCTATAGCCGGCCTAACCCACCGTGCTACATCCACGCTTTGTGACCACACCTTTATTTTTAATAAGAGCTACTCAAGGGTGAGTAACTCTTCAAAATAACCGAACTAAAACAAAAAGCTTTTGTGAAAACAACTAACAAAAATCATTATTAAAAAATACTAAATTAATAAAAGATTTATAAAATGTAAAATTACATGATGCAATATATAGATCAGAATACAACACCAAGGACGAACATCAAAAGACAAGACGACCTCACTACACTCGAGAGAGAATGACCAACTACAATCGATATGCCGCTCACAATCACAACTCAAAGGATTTAGAGTACGACTTGACTTCGCAGAAAAGGACTTCATTGAACTAGACCAATGACCACCTCGATGTTCAAGTATACGTACAGATCCGAGTAACCAGGCATCCCCTCCACGCACAATCTCCACGCCATTCCCGAGCTAGATCAAACACAAAAGAAGTTCTCTCCGAAGAACAGAAAAACCTGACATAGCCAACCATTCTGAAACCAGAATTGATGCTGTTGCAGAGACTCAGTCGTTGTCACAAGAAGAACACAACGTCTTGTGTCCTCAATTCCAGATCCCTGGAACTTCCTTAACAAAAAGGAAACAAAAGAAAAATGATGTTCGCCAAATACCAACGTCCATCATCCATCCTTGAATTACAGGAGAACTGTTCTAAAAAACTCTGTAAAACCCGGATGGGTGGAACCTGATCTAAACTATATTTTATGATTGGATAAATTAAATGTTTTACCAATGTAAAGTATTTAATATTAACCAATCATGATCCATCTAACTAACAACCCACTTATTTGTAAGTGCTGAAGTTACTTGTAATTTCAGCACCAGAGAGATTTGAATTTAACTTAGAAATTAGTTGGACTCTCCCGAGCACTTCAGCAGCCGCAATAAACCAGTATACCCTAGATCTATTGAGCCTAGCAGAGACTAGTTAAACAACCTGAGACTAGATAGTATAAGAGTAAGATTAGGATCGGTATTAGACTAAGAAGTTGCACGAATCTATCCGGCCGAAAATAAGATAGCGTGACGAGCAGACGGTGTACCCTATCCGAAATTACTCTATGAGTTATACACCCCAGTCTTAACTCAATGTGGGTTTTTGTATCATTAATTTTTAAGACGCCTATGAAAATTTTTGCACTTCTCGCAAATTAGGTGAAGATTGTAATCGAAATAGCAGATTTTGTGAATATTTGCTGCACAGCTGGTGTCGCTTTTTTGATGAAAAAAAGTAATCGCCTTAAACATTGTCTATTTTTTGAAATTTAGACCCCTTTTCGGAGACTTTTGTCAAAAAATACTTTGCCGAATTTAAGATTAAAGGCTTCATTTAAAGAACATGCTGGCTTAAAGGACAAGTTAGGACTTTAGATGGTGAGTTCAATTTCGGCACAGCAGAGTTTTTATTAGTCCTACCTTCCTTTTTCACTTTTTGACCAATTTAGAGCTGTTTTTTGCCCTTTTGTCGCTTGTGTTCGCGATGTGCAGCTTCGCCTCTGAGTCTGAAATATGGGTGATCTATTAGTTTAAGATATGGGTGAGCAATCCACGAATGGAATGACTCAGCTTAGCACTGGGCTTTCGATCTCCACTAGTTTTAAAGAACACTGCAGTTAAGGACAAGAGTGAAAACTATTAAAAACAAGTAACTTTTAGATCCGCCATTGCAGTACTTGTGTTGTTGCATTGTGTTGGTTTTATTTCTTTGGCGAAAGCGGAAGATGAGTTTCCCGATGAAGCTAAAGACGCTTCCCTTCTGTCACCTAGTGGAAAGATGTTTTCAAATGGCGCTTCGAAGATGAAGACTGTCTCCAAGAAAGATATGGAGACTCGTCTCGGAAATAAAAAGACAGAAGGCATCTTTTCCAGATACTTTTTAGGGGATAATAGTGTGGCTTACTTAAAGTCTGAACCATAATTATGTGTATCTAGAACCATTTTTTAACACAAAAAACTTCGTTGAACTTTTCATGAGCAATATCACGTTTTAAACCCAACTTTGATGCCATCTGTAATGAAGAAGAAGATTCTGACGCCTCAGATGAAGAAAAAAGTGAAGATATAGCGGTAGAGAGTGGCAGAAGAAACAGACGTCCACTTCTGTTCGATGACTCAGATGCCCAGGGGCACTGCCCTGATTTGCCCATAGGACTCATCAGGGCAAATACCGAACGGACAATTGTGAACTTCAAAACAATATTTTCAATACTTGTATATGTGATGTGCCATGGTTGTCCCTTGGACTTTTAATTGTTGTGACCAAACGATAAGATCGAGTTGTGAATTATTTTTTGAAAAGAAGTTTTCGTTCTTTGTGTTCATGCGTTGTCATTCGCTTTCACTGCTAGTGAAATTGTTTCAAGATTGGCATATTATTAATTGGGTATCCCGAGACGTGAGATTCCTCAGCGGATTCGTTAATGATATATCAAAACTCTCAATCTAGATTCTGACTTAAATGGCATTTGTCCTGTATTGAGAACCCACATTAGGAAATTCTCAGTTTTGAAACCGAGTTATTTTGATTTTGCTTTTTTTGGCGAGAATAAAGCTGAAACGGCTACTCAAAAACGGAAGAAACATCTTTACAACTAGTATTCTATTTTAGTTTTACTCGTTCTGATTGTTTGCAGCGTGAAAGTGCACGACATGTCTGACTTGCGAGAGACGGAGCAGATCATCACAGTGGAGGAGGAGTCCTCCACCTCCCTCGCCCTCTCTGGCGCCTCCACCCGGGCCAGTCTGGCCAAGCAGTCTGCAGGACCCACTGAAGTCGACAAGGTAATTATGGGTCTAGACTGAGTCCTATTTATTTGTTGAATTATACTGAGACATATTTTTTTGCAAGTTTAGAGGAATAAACAAATTCTTATCTGCTGATAAATACCCTGAGAAAAATACACGCAGGCGTAAAAATCCCCGGAGAAAAATATAGCGAACATACAATGGGAAAAGAGTCAATGATCTCCAGAGACGAAAGGTATCATTAATTCTCACTATGAGTTGCCCTCGAAAGCTCCTTTTTTATAGTTATATTTCAATTTAATTATAGTAAACTTAAAAGACAAAAATAGAGTAAAGAATTTAAATTAATCTGAACTCTTAACGACAAAAGCTGCATGCCATGAACTTGCCTTAACATGATAGTACCTTTGTGCCCTCAAGAGAATAAGGATTGGAAATAAATTTTAAAAAACTTGCGTTTTTTTCTTTTTTTATTTTTGCGATTTCTCTTCAGCTACAAATTTCAGAGCGCCTAATTTCATTGGTTATTCAGAAAAAGTTTTGGGCCTTGTAAATTGGAAATGTAGCTCAGATTATAGCTAATGAAAAGATTCACGAACTTAATTTTTTTGGAAAAATTGCAGTATCTTGAAAACTGGCACGTTTCAGCATCTCATTCTTTGGGAGAAAAATTGCAAATAGTTTATCTGTATGCTAGCATTCTTTTAAAAATTTCTTAATTCTGATAAAACTTTATACTTATCAAGACACGTAAACACAAAAAACTTTCATTTTTTTATCCTCATTAAAGCGAAAGTATTGACCTAAATCGCGATTTTTTGAAGATGCACTAAATCACGATTTTCAAGAAAATACTTTTCTCGTATTCGATGCGCGAAGCAAGTGATTGAATCCTTATAATACTTTATATACTTATCAAGACACGTACACACAAAAAAAAACTTTTATTTTTTGAGCTTCATTAAAGCGAAAGTATTGACCTCAAGAAGAAAATATAGTATGCACTAAATCTCGATTTTCAAGAAAATACGTTTCTCGTACTCGATGCGCATTGCAAGTGATCGAATCCTTGTTCATTTTCAAATAATTATCAGGCAAAATACGATTTTCGTTCTGTAGATTTAGCAATTGTATCCTCTATTTGGAATTCAATTTCCCGTTGACATACCTTTGCATAAAATATAATTGAAATTGACCCTTGATGTCCTCTAGTTAAGAGTAATGGACGTAGTGAAGACTCTTATGTAGGTCTTGCTGTTTTTTTTATGAAGAAGTCTTAAAATATTGATGCACTTATTGAGTTCAATTGAAATTCATCTGCTGGAAGAGACGTAAAAAGCACTCGCCAAATACGAACGTGGAAATGGCGTGAGAAAACGTGAACGATTTCTTGTTTCGAAAGTGGAATTTGTTTGTAAGATTTATCAGCGGAATAAAAACTTCACCTATTGATTCAATTTTTTCAAGCTGGATTCAGGTTATCAAAACAGCGCCAATAATAAATTGTTCTAGAAATTCAATGAGCTTAATGGGCTTTTATTTTTTTGAAATTCGAAAGTTGAGTTTGTTTAAACAAAGCCATATTTTTATATGTTATAACTCTTTTCCAATCTTCGATTGGCTATGTTTAATTATTTCTTGTCTTTTATATGAAGAAAGTTGTTCAAATCTTCCGTAGAATTGATATTATTTAAGGATCTCAAACAGAATTTCCAGAGATCATAAACAAATAGCTCGTACACTGTCAGTATTCTGTTTGAAGAAAAAAGAAAAAATCTCCTTGTGCTGTCGAATTTTCTATTGTACAAAATCACTCGGACAATTTTTTTTCTGCATCATAAAAATCGGAATCGTAGCAAGTGCAACCATATACAAGCAAACTATATTGAACGATAGGCTGAATAATACTGAAATAAATTTTGATAAGAATTTCAATGGGAATGAAACGCCGCATAGTAGTAACAACCCTAGTGTCTTCCAAATATCGACTTAACTTGTAGTATATGACTCATAAAAGACAGCTTGGAATCGTCAAAAACACCCAAGTGCTCAGAGAATGGTTGAGATTAGCGGGTACTTATCTTGGAAATAACCAGAAATATAAGTGCTTACTTATTCATACATTATTTCAGGTAGCCTATACGAATGATGGACAGCTAGTAGCAGTGTCGACTAAAGCGGGATCTCTTCATGTGTTCTTGGCGAAGTTACCCTCACTCGGAGAGGCATTTGGAACTAGAATAGCGATTTTGAGCTCGCTGTTGGAGGTTACAATTTCGAACAGTGTTCTGCAGGCCAGTTTGCATCTTTTAATCGGTTTTTCTCTCCTAACTTTTTCTCTGATAACGCATGTAAAAATGTACTTTAAAAATATACATTAAAAACGACCAGGAGTGCAATAAACAGTTGGCAACTTTTTCAACATCGTGTAAGGCAGTGTTTTGGTTGCATTGCAAGTGTTGCGAAGCTCGGCTCCCCCTATGTTAAAACATTATAATAGAGAATTTGTTGCTTAGTTTTTAGCTTTATTGTTAGCCTTGGGTTTATGAGCTTTTCGTTTCAGGAGCCGGATATCAGTATTTCTCTTGAGTTGGAGCCTGCCTTCCTTGCTCTGGGTCCATTCCACTTGGCTGTTGGAATGAACAACTGCGTGTGGTTCTACGAGCTGCTAGATCGAGGTATCTGTATTACTGTTTATTAAATACATGCCTTCTGTTATTGAATGTTTCTGATTTTTTAGTTGATCTCATTCGTGCATTTTTATGATCTGAAGGGGAAATGGCGATCGCCTTCATTCTGGTTATAAAATTTTCTGAAAACAAACTGATATATGACATCTCCCTTTTGTTCGGCCAACTCTGATAAGGTTTCCATTAGTTGCTATTGTTTTTTTCCAGGAGAAAATACTGCACCCGTAAGATCGAACAGGCGGTCTAAATGTAAGTGAATGAATGTGTGATAATCTGGTCTCTGGACAACCACTAACTTTTGTAAAATGATGAATATCTTTTTAAACTAAAAATCGATCTGTTAACCTCTGTTACTTTCTAGGCACTAACGTTTCATCATGTTTTTAAACATGAACAGAACTTTTTATCTCCGAGACTTTTGAACTTGTAAAATTGACGAAAAAATAGATTTGAAAATCAACCGTTGAATTTCGTTCATTTTCTAGTCTGAATCTTTTCATCCGCTGTACAAACAGACTGGGTCGAATGATATATATTATGGAAGTCCGTTCAGACGTAATTCAGTCTTTATTTGAAAAATTTAAAAAAAGATTCGGTTTTGAGAGAAACGATTAAAAAATTTGGCTTTTAAGACATATTAAGGGCTCGTAAAGCCAGCAAGTGGAGCAAAGAATTGTTAATTAAGCTTTCAAAAATTTAATTTTCAGCTGTTTAAAACAAGTTGTTGAGTTGAAATCAGCTCTTCCTCAGCACTAAAAACTGTAGTTTTACCAAATAACAGACACATTTTTGAAAAAAATTTCTTCCTCAACACTAAAACCGTAATTTAACCAAAAAATAGTAACATTTTCCGAAAAAAATTTTCTGTAAAAAGTTTTTTTTTGCAAACAAAGTAAATAAATAAACTGTATAGCATTCGAAAAGTTAATAAGGTCGGATTTTTTTGGGGCACCTGCACAGAGATTGGCTCACTTTTTTCACTATAAATGCAGATTTAGATAGCAATTGTCTTGGAAGTGTCTTGGTTCTATACTAGACTTACTTTTTTCCTATAAAATATGAAAAAAGCTAGTTAGTAAGAGTAATGAATGTGGTGAAGGTTCTTATATCGGTCTTGCTGAATTTTTTTGTTTGTTTTTTTTTCAGGAAAAAGTCTTGAAATTTTGATGCGCATAGGTATAATGCACTTTTTGAGTTCAATTCAAACTCATCTGCTGAATGGGACGTAAAAAGCACTCTCCAAATACGAACGTGGAAATGGCGCGAAAAATTGACATCTAGTTTTGAAAGTGGATCTTAAATTTCATATTTGAAAGCCGAATGAACAAGTTACCTTTTGATTCAACTTCCTAAAGATGGGAAAAGTGCCCATGAGAAACAATTCCTGAAGTTCGAGTTTCTGATTTTGTCTTGTGTTCTTTTATATTTGATCCAAAAAGAATTTGTCTTTCTTGCTTTTTGTTGAGTTTTTTCAACTACAGCTTGTGTCATTTTTGCTGGCAATTCGTTTTAAATATTGTTAAAGTTTGTCCTTGCAACTTTGTAGTTTTAAGTTGTTAAATGAACTATATCCGCTATATTGTTGAGTTTTCATTGCTGTCTGATTTTCACTAGTAGTCAGTTGTTATTGAGTGGGTAGCTAGGCTTCAATGTTGATGTGGCTTTTTATGAAGCCATAGGCAGTGGGTTTGATACCCAAGTTTTACAATCTTCCGTTTTCACTATTTTTTAAATTTTGGTCTTATTTTTGTATTTTTTGATTAAAGGATCAATCAATTACTAGTCATCGTTTGTATTTTCTATGGATAGTCTTTTTGTATGAGTTATTTTTGTTTTATAATTCAGGCTATGTGGGCTCTGTCTCGCCTCTCTGTTGATGATTAACATTTCTAATTGATTAGCGACTTTTTTTTGCTTAGAACAATTAAGGCTTCAAACTTCGTGAATCTTTAACTATTTATGGATAGTCTGTTTTCGATGTGTGAGTTAGATCTTTTGAGTACTATTGTTTTTTGTGCTGCATTGTAAATTTCCAATCAAACTGGGTGTTTGAAACAAAAGAAATGGTCATTTTCTTTGAATTGTTTGACTTATAGTTAATTACACTTGCGATTAGCTATCATATTGCAGCCGGGTACTAGACTTTTTCCACTAAAATTTTATTTCATTTCACTGGGTTTTCTTTATTGGCATAATAGTTTTGCTGTAACTTGTTTTACCCCTGTAGCTTAGAAATTACACACATGCTTGGGACGAAAAAAGGCCGGGTTTCGAGTCCGGCCAGCATCGTTAACTTTTCACGTTTGCTTGCTTATTTTTGTCTAAAATTTTTTACAGCATGGACTTTCTTCTGAGTGAAGAAAGCTTTAATATAACTGAAAGTCAAAACTGTTTTTATTCCTGTAATGCTTCTGGTAATTGAGTGCTTAGAAATTTTTACCCACTTGTTTGAAATTTCTGATAATCTTATGTCAAAATGTTGAATTTTGTGATAATATTTGGTCTGTTTTGGTACTTTTTAGACTGGTTGGGTTTAAAATTAAGTTCTCCTGTCGTAAGGAGTAATGATGTGTTGTGGTGAGTGTCGAGTGTGTTTAGCTGGTCAGACGAAGGTGACTCAGCGGGAGTACATGGGAACAGTGAGTGAAGTGAAGCTGAGTGAGAAGTTCGCAGCTGTGAGGTGTCAAAACAGTGTACAGCTACACAGAGTGAGTCAGCCACACTTAACATGCACTAGCCCACATTAGTTAAATTTAAAAAGCCTAATTTAAGGAAAGGGAAAATGAAACTAATTTTATGTTCACGACAATAGACAGCTTATGTTTTCATTTTATGCTCTTTGTAATTGCCCATACTGAATGGAGTAGAAAAAATTAAACATCACAGGCTGAACCTAAGATTAAGATGCCAAATCTTCAGAGCAATTTAGCTCAAAATTAGGAGTGTGTTATCTCAGTTTGAATTCTTTTAGGTACAGGTAAATAATACTCTGGGGCTATATTCCTGTCAGAACGACCAAATGAGCGAAAATTTATGGCCTATCAACGTTCTTGAGACTGACTTATTTCGTTTTGAGTACCGAGTTATGGTTGGCTACTGGGGCAGACCTACGGGGGCGGGGGGGGGGGGCTGGGGGGGGGGGGGGGGCGTATCAGGGATTCGACCTCCTCGCCAACCAAAGGGTCTCTCTTTAGGTATTCTTTTAAGACATTCCTTTTCAGCTGACCAACCCTAAAGTTTTCTAAAAGCGCCCTCGGCGCCAATATTTACGAATTTTGAATGGGAGCGCGCGCCCAAAAATAAAAAAAATTTTGTAAAATTTTTCAAAATGTACCCAAAAACGCTATTTGTCAAAATAGGGTTTTTATAGTCTTCTGAGAGCCCTGAGAAAATCAGTTTGGTCGACCTTAAAAACAGGTCGACAAAATTTTCAAAAATTTTTTGAAAACCCGACCCTGATTGGCTGACAGATTTTTCGGACATTTGGTCGTTCTGGCATGAGAGATTCCCCCATTTAAAACGATGTGCTTTTTTGAAGTGAAGAGTGTGATTTTTCATTGGGAGTTTCGATATGAGCTGACGTGTGGTCTTTGAAATAATGTTTGACCTAGATTGAGGATGTTTGTAATGTTTAATCATTAAATTAAGTTTAAATAATAGCAAATTACTGATTTAAAAAAGAGTTCACATCGAGTTGATTAAACCTTTCTTTCGAAAACCAAATAAATGATTGAATTAGCACTTCGCCTGCTTTGAGCGTGTACAGATTGATTGAAGAATCGGCATTCAAATTTCTCTATGATATTTCTTTTGATGATATTCCACAAAATCTAACATAGAAAGCTGCATTTTGAAACAATCTTCTTCGTTAATTGATATAAGTTCATGTGAGAATTCAGTGGTAAAATTGACATTTGCAGGTAAATGTTGACCGAGTTGAACTGCCTTTTTGAAACGAACCAATTTTGGAAATTGTCCATCGTAAAATATTGGATGCTGTTTAAGTTTCTCAGTGCACCATTTTCCGATCTGATTGTTCACGTTCTTCAGTTCTTGCACCTGTTTGTCGAAGTTTTCGATGAGAGAAATTTGATGATTGAATTTTTCTAAGCTCAATTCGTGTAAAATGTAATCATGAGGTGAAAGTTTTTTATGCAGCTTCAATCGTCGCTGGTATTCAGAAGACGTTTTATTATTTTCGTCTGCGGTTTTTAATTTTGCCTGGTTGTTGTTACTGCGAAGGTATAGAATATCTTTGTAATCCCAGTTGAGAACAGTTTTGAGAAGAACTAAACTTTCGTCGAACTTTTCCTGGTGCATTATGACTGAGAAATTGTTCACTACTTCATGAGCTAACTGTGTTCTGTTGGTGGTGAAATAGGCACCATAGTCAAATAAAATGGCATCTCTGAGACCGATTTTGTAAATTTCCTGAAACAAAGTTAGTTTTAATTAGTCGAAATTTTAAAAGACTCTAAAGACTAGTTGACTCAATTTGATGGTTTTCTAACGCTTCGGCAGAGGGAAGACTTTTGAGTTGTTTTGTCTTCTTTTGATTCATAAAAATAATTTACAAAAAGTTGGGGTTTCAAAGAAACTCATTCTAAGCTTCGTGTTTCTGTGAGTGATTTGCAACTTTGAAAGGATAGGTAACTAGATCAACTGATCTGCTTCGAACCTACCCGGTTTAACAAAAATAGTACCCGAGTACTAATCAGAAGTAAGTCAATATTTTACAAACATCTCTGAAAAAGAAAAGGTGTCTAAATGAAGAATGATGATGATGACGACTAACCAGATTTCGCCACCTGTTTCTCAAGTTTCCATCCAGCAGCTGAGTGGAGTAGTTGAGAAAGAAGTCGAAAGTGGAGTGGGAGTCTAAGAAGGGAAAGGCTGTCTGAAGGGATCTGCCGACGTGGAAGAAGTCGAAGAAGGAGGAGAACTGGTCGAATGGGTGTCTGATCATCCCAACTAGGGCTGTGGGCGGTTGCATTAGTAGAGCCCAGAAGGGGTAGTTGAAAAAGGTGTGCAGAGTCATCAGCTGTGAAAAGAAACTGGAGTTATTGTTATTTCCATACCACCATCTGCAAGGGATTCTTGCTTGTTTGGAACTTGATGCAAGTATAATAGTTATCGTCTTAGAAAAGACAGCCATGAAAGATCACAATTTATGAAAAGCCCATTCATGAAAAGCTCAAACGCTGGTGAAAAAAACGCAGAAGCTGTTCCGGAAGAACTTTTTGTGGTGAAACCCATCTATATTTTAGAGATCGAAGTATCAAATTTGTTACTAAGAACATATTATTGCAGTATAATTAAAAAAAGGCAACATTTTCGCATCAAAAACTGTTTTGAATTGAGACGTGATCTTAGTTGTACCTGAAACGCACCTGAAATTTGTTGTCTCGACGTCTTGAAGGAAGCTCATCGGTGAACGTATTTCTCTTGAAAAAGTAGCTGAAACATTGCTCACGGTTAAGTCTTTTTTTTAAACATAACAAGTGAAAATGCACGTGTTTAGGCATTTTAAAAGCTTCCCAACCCTATCCTCATTCAGACTATTTGAGACGGGATATTACTGCTGGTGTTCGAAATTAAGTTCAGGCAAAATGTTCAAGAGTCGATGAGCGTAGTTAGACTCTATATAAGTTGTGATGGTATTTTATTTTCGTTTTTTTTTCAGAACTGAAATTTTTGTTCAGGTCCAAGTTTTACTTTTTTGCTATTGATTTTTTCAAGTTCTGGTCATTTCTTAATTCATTTCCTTTTAAGTTGAAGATCATTTATTTTCGAAAACGAATAGATTTCTCAGCAAAATGTAAATTTTATCTAGTGATTCATTTTTCTCAAATTGGGTTATTTTTTTTTTATATGTCGATTTTGAATTGTTCTAGAAGTTCAGTGGCCATCTATTTTTTCTTCGAAATTCGAAAGTTGAAATTTTTCGAACAAAAACCAAGTGTTTTTTTTGTTTACTTGCGGTCATTGACTCTTTTCCAACTGTCTGTTGGCTATGTTTGCTTTATTTCGAAAGTTGTGTTTTGACTTGGTGCATCTGTGCCGAGCTTCGCAAACAATTGAGAATGGAGTGAGAACTCTGTACCAACCCTACTTCCCCTAATGGTAGCTAGTTACTAATTTCTACTCATAAGAGAGCGAATGAAGTGGTTAAGCATATAAAGTTCTAGAGAAACAAGGATAGCAGATTGCTCTGCAAATAGCGCAGATGTTTCGACGATTTTCTTATAAAAAATACTAACGTTTTTTTCCTCGTTTTTTTGTGTGTAGTGTGATCATCAAAACTTTTCCCGAAAGCCTAGAACTTAGGTATATTCGATAAGCACAGTAAAACATGCCAATTGGGCTTAAATTTTGTTTAAAATACGACAAGAAAACAAAAAAAATAAAAGTCCAAAATTTGTGTTTTCGTTTTTTTAAGATATTTTTGATTGTTAATTCCTAAGAGCGCGCTGAAAAAATATTTTAAAAATTATTTCACTAGGTAAAACAAAAATTTCATGGCCTATCCTTCTATAAAAAAGTCTGCTCGCGGCTTGCTTTACTTGCTCGAAATTGAACTAAAACTCAAAAAATTTAAACCAATTTTTCTCGAAACTGACAATTATTCGAAACATTTTTGATGTCGTTCGAATCAGGGCTGAAAAGTTTAAAATGTGATTCATCTTTCCTACCATTCCAAAGGTTGTTTGTTTTTGGTAACTTCTCTTGGTTGAAAAGTGAAATGAGCCTTCTCGCTCGCATTTCTCGCTCGAAATTAGACAAAAAACCAAAAATTTCAAATTCTCGATGCGGGGACAAAAATTTAAATCACACCCGACGAATATAAAGTTCCTCCCCATTTTTCAAATGGCCGGAACAATAAGTAAGGAATATCTCTGTGAAAGAGGGATTTTTTAAATGATCATGATATCTCACCCAATAACGGAGGCTCTTTTCTGGGGCAGAAGCATTTCCAACGAGTGTGTGTCTGCATGTCGCATCAAAATAGTCGCCATCATGTCACTCGCACACTGAAATACGAATTGTTGTGAGCTCTTTATCCTTTTACCCCCGCCTCGCATGATCATTGATTATTTTACGGTTCAACTAGTGGTTTTACAAGTTGAAGTATGACGACCAAATCTGTTTGTCATGGTGTAATTAATTCCCTGCGTCAGTTTTCATAACAATCCGATGACCCGAACAATATTTTAGTAGTAAAAATTCGCAGGTGGGAGGAAGCAAAAAAAGCCTTGTTGTCTTTCTGAGGGCTAAATGCCACATGATTCGTTCTCATACAATAAAGGCAAAAACAAAACGAATTTAGTGCTCAGCATATTGGTGATCAAGTTACTATTCAAATGTTCAAAATTTTTCAAGAAATGTGGGTTTTTGTCTTTAAATCACAAAGATCTACACTTTCAAAACTCTCAGGACCTATTTTCAGAGTACTCAGACACAAATGAAATCGAAAAGCAAAAATCAGCTCATTGAAAAGAGGCATACGATTTTTCCTGTTAGTTTCAATTTTGTTTGCAGCTCAACTCAAATTATTTGCTCTATTTGCTCTCTAGCCGTATGCGTTTGTTTTAGATTTTTCTCAATGTGTTTGCTTTAGATTTTTCGAATTGAAGTTTTTTTGAGTTGGAAATGTGGTGGACGTGGAGAAAAAGGCCAGTGTGAAAGGTCTAAAATAATTGGCTCTTTACCTCGGAGAAAGAGAGAGCTACTTTTCGAGACAACACATTCCTAAGATGTGTTCGAGGTCGAAACAAGAGGGAAATGAAACTTTTTATCGCCCCGCCGGTTTAAACTGTCAAATGATACCCAGCCGTTGGAACGGAAGATGCTATTCTTGAGGTTTCCTGGTGACATTTTTTGCACATCCAGACACATCTTTGCACATCCAGAAAATATTGGGCACGGAACACAATACTTTCACTTACAATTCAACGCCAAGAAATGAAAATTTCTCTGTCTGAGAATTGAGTTTTCATGTTTGTGCGGACGGTACAATGCTTTGCTGTAAAAATAAGAAATCAAACTAAAAAAAGTTAAGATCCGCAAACTTCCAAAATTAGATCATTATTTTTTTTTAAAGGCTTTACATCAAAAGATGAGGGATTTCTCCCCTTAAATGTGGAATGGAACGAAATTTAGAAAGTCAATATCTGCAGTTGTTACTGGGTCATAAAACTACCCAGGTGTCGGAATTTTTCCACTTGACTTAGGAATGGTAAAAGACCAAGTAATAGTTTTGTTTTGTTTTCGAGACGTGTCTGTTTTGAGACCAGGCTGTTTTTGAGACTACCGTGTGAAAGGAAACTGATGTGGTCGTCGACGAGGTTTGCCAAGCAGTATGTTCTGTGCCAAAAGCTCGTTCTGCCTCACGTACTCTGGGGATATCGAATATCTTGCCTCTTCTGGCAGATAGGACACAAAGTTCTGTCAATCGAGCTTGTACCGGTATGATATAATCTTCGATAAGACCAACAATTCGTTCATCTCGATATATAAGGACAGTGGTAGCAGGTTGAGCTGGTCTAGGCGCTCGGTGTTATGAAGATCGATGTAGTTTGTAATCCAGTTCATTGCTTTGCATTGTATGCAGTCCAGCGCCTTGGTAATTGTCTTGTTCGCAAACCAATTGCATATGTGTACGTTGTTATGGGCAGAACCATTGATTTGAAGAGAGTAAGTTTTTGATGGGGGACAATAAGATCGACTGACGATCGTTCGAGCATGTGCAGGATTGATAGCGGCTTCCGAATTGTCTTGTTTATGTGGGAGCCCCAAGAACCAGTGCACCAGTGGATGCATATGAGGTGTACGACAAAAATATCTTGTACTGAACCTAATTGACTTAATTCAAAAATTAGTTGAAATCATTATTTTTTTAAAAGTTTTTATTAGCTTTTTAGTTGAAGGAGCTCCTGATGTCTTTGAGTATTGTCGATCATAACGCTTACCGATGAAAAGAAAACGTTTTGTCTCTAAAACGGAATAAAGGAGAGTTTGATTTTTTTTAAAAGTTGTTTTAAAAAATATGAACCACGAAAATGGAAAACTTGGAAAGCAATTTTTAATTCAAACGCCATCTAGCCGCAAAATTAACACGTTCAGACGGAGTTAACAACCAAAATACACTTCGTGGTGGGAGATGAGAAAATTAAAATTTGCCACCAGCATTATTGTTAAACTTGGAATATTTCGGCCTTAAAAATGATTTGCCCTGCTGAAATACTGGCCAAGATGATTGTGATAAAAAACCAAGTGAGGTACGGCAAAAACGATATCGGAACGTGTCAATGAAGCCAAGAACGGGTCCCAAGCAACTAACAGGATCCCTAGTGTAAATACAGTGCCCCAACTTTTTCAAAAAATCTCTTCATTTATGTAATATAATGAATGCATCGAATAAGTCAGCGCAAATGAGGCATTTTAATCAAAACTCAGCAAACGTCCTGAAAACGATCAATCGACGTCTATTGATGAACTTAGTCGCTGTATTTGCTTAGAATGTGTGTGAAATGGGACCCTTCTGTCACACTGGTTCCGAAGAACCACTATCTTTTTTAATAAGAGTGCCAATCAGATAATGAGCGGTTTTTTGGCAGCTTCTAAAGTGAAATACTTAATTCGGAAACTAATTTGTCTCAATTTGAAGTAGGAATAATGTCACCGATGAGCAGAAACCTCGATTATGCGCTGATAAGACTAATCAAACGAGGATTAAAACAACGGTTTTTAAACATTGGCAAATTGTTTTGGCTGACTGTTTGCATCCGACATCAGATGGCTCAAGGTGGTGAGCGAAAGACTTTTTTGAAGCCTTGCGGAGTTTCTTGCAAACATAGCTGGCTCACTTTAGCGCGAGAACGCATCAGAATCGTACGAGTGTCTCCGATTAGTTCGAGATATTTCATCAGATCCGTAATCATCGGATTGGGTGGAGTGATTTATCAAATTAAATCCATTTCAGTCGTTATTCGAACAATATCAAACATTTTTTAAAAAAAGAGTTGTCCCGGTGTCGAGAAAGGCTGGATGGAAGTTTTTGAGATTTACTCTAATTTTGAGCGAAGAAATGCGATCGAGTTTCCAACCTGATATAAAAATTTAACTTTTATTTAGGCTAAAAAAAACTTGATTTTACTGAAAAGATAACTAGTTTTTGAAATTTCATTTAGCGCTTCCTTGGCTATAAAAGTTTTCTTTTATTTGAAAAAAGAATTTTTTTGGATAAAAAAATAAGATTAAAAAAATCTCTTATGTCATCCATTTTTTAAGTCTTAATTTCGATTATGTCTTATTCATTAATTTTTCCTTTTTGTATTTTTATGAATCTGGTCGGAACATTCTGTTCTATTTCAAGGGGGCCATAATGGAAACTGAACGTTTTTTTTGAAATCTGTTCCATTTGGAGGGGGCAATAATGGAAACTGAACGTTTTTTTTTTTGAATTAGAACGAGTTTTTCTAACGTGTGTTCTTACCTTGTGGGTTTTGACTAAAGCTACGTTCCTTACTGTGCATTTCTCTTTCGCTGTCCGTCGCAGAATATCGAGTGCAGCGTTGTGGTCAATGAACGCTCTTCTACCAAATCCACAGGACTGGTTAACTTCTGGTTGTGACTCTGATTTTGTAACTAGTTCTTTCGAGTTCTCTCCGATTGGGTTCAAATGCGTTTGTGATTCAGCTAGGTTTGTTTCCGTCTGTAATAATGATTGAATTGAGAAATATAATGAGCGAAATTTTAAATTGTAAAGCAGAAACGCCAACCCCAAACAGATTATAAATCGTTTGATGAAGAATCTCAAGTGTACCATGTTTTTTTGAAATCGAAAAACGTCTTGTCTTATCGATGAAGATTGGCGAAGTCAATTCGGGATATAATTGCATCTAAAAAGTTGAATCTAAGTAAATTACTAGCAGGTAGCGAAAACAAGGGATTAATTTTGAAGAATCAGTATGCTCATGGTTTTGTTTTGCAGATGTCTGAATGCGTGTGGATTTTGTGCATGCGTTTTCCCGCGCCTCAATTTTTTTAGCTTTTGATTCAATTTTTTATTTCGAACGTGGCTTTTTTTGATTGAACTAAACTTCTATAGTTTTTTTCAGACTTGGCTGTTTTTCAGACAGTGTTATTTTTGGCTGTTTTATTTTTGGCTGTTGTTCATATGTGAGAAATTTGCTGTCAGTTTTTCAATGCGCACTTGACATTTTTTTGAACAAGTAGAAAATCATGCAGGGAAAACAGCATGAAGAAGTGAAAGCTGAAAGAGTATTGACTTTTAAGTAATAGGTACGAGTGGCATGAACGAGTGCAGGCGATCAGTAGGAGCTCAATTGGAGCAGTTAATTTTAATAATCTTTTACTAAGATTTTTCAAAATATTCATTTTTCAAGTGTTTCTGAGGGAATTGTAAAATCTGTGTTTTTTTCAGCAACATTGTATGAGCTTGCACATGATGGAAATTGAAATTATGTGTCAGGCTTCTCGGAAATGGATTTAAAATGTTTTATATGGAACAGAATATTTTTCACATTACGTGTCAGATACAAATTTTTATGGTCAGTGAACTCCTGTTGTTTTAGAAAAAAAAGGTAAAAAAATGTGAAGAGAAAATTTGCGTATGAAAATTCACGTTGGCATACAATGGAAAACACCTGCGATGTTTTTTCATTGTCTAAACGGTTGGTTTGCGATCGCGAGTCATATATCGGAAATTCGATCTCGATGTTCTGCATTTAGCGTATTGCCCCATTTAAACCCTTTCCTTTCATTCTCCTGTTCATACATATCATGCAACAGCTATCCATGAACAAACCCATTTTGTATTCACTTTTAACCCATGTAAACTTCCATAAATCGAAATCGTTAGTGGGGCTAATCAAAACAAGAGGTAGTCTTCAGCATGATGACAGTGCTTACTTAATGAGGGAGAAGGAGAAATGGAGCCACTTAAACTTGCGACAGCAAACATGATTGAAAACTAGATCTTTTTCAGTAAATAATTTTTTCTCATATCTTTAAGAATTTGAGTGATGGTTATTGGGAAATATCAATTACTGTCGGCGCTCAAACGCCTAGTTATTCAAGAGTCGATGAAGCTCTTATATAGTTCGCAATGGTTTTTTTGTTCCTTTTGGGCCTTTTTTGTTTTCCACCAAATCTATTCCAATGGCTATATCTTTTCATGCTTATTATTCATTTCATGTGTCGAAGTTTTGACGCCTAAGTTTGAAATATGCAAATCGTGAATGTTAAGCATTCATGTATATCCATGAAATGATTAGTTTTCCGATTTTTATATAGCCATTGTTTCTCTTTTGTTCCGACCCTTGAAATTGGAGAGAAATTTTGTTTTAGATGCAAAGTCTTATCAAAAATAATCATCAGATTCAGTCAATAGATATATCATTTTCAAGCCCTTTCAGTCGTTAAAATTTTTAATTTGTAGTCAATTTTCGAGCGAGCAAAACGAGTATCTTCCGTATCTTCAATTTTCAAAGTTTTTGTAGTGCATTTTGGGAACAAGAACAAAAAAATTTCAGAAGTTCAAATAAATGTTTGTGTTTTTTTTGTCTTTTCATCACATCAAGAAAACCTGTTGTCCGTCTTTCCATTTTTACTGTGAAGGACGAACTTGCCGTGAAATTTTTGCTTTTCGTTAGGATCCTTTTAACGCATCACATTCAAAAAACGACACTAGTTTGAAAAAAAAGTTTTCGTTTTTTTTTTACACGTGCGAAGCTAGTGTATTAGTACGAACCTTCTTTTTTTCCAACCTAAGTCGCAAATTTTGGTGCGGTACTTTGATAGCATGTGCTTTGAAATTCGAATAGTGCTAAATTAACACAGTTGATGCTTTTTAAGTCATCAAATGACCGAAAAAAGCAATTTTTTTCAAGCAACATAACAATCATAAAACTCGATTTCAGATATTTTCTAACTCAATATATCTCGCAGTTTTTTGAAATGACTGACTTATACATAATGTAGCTTTATGCTTCGCAATTTGTTACATGCAAAGTTAGTGTGCATGCCTTCAGTTTGTTATTTTCCAAATTAGTAATTGCAAAATTTAGTCTATTTGTATTTGGTGCTGAATCGAATTGACAATTCGTTAGCATATGTAGCTGCTTTATTCGTCACTAGTGTTTGTCGGTTGTTAAGCTTGAGTGCCTAAGGGGAGACTCAAAATCTCTTGCTTGCAGGAAATCGCAGATTCGAATCCTAGACGTAGCCGAGTTTTTGCTAACTGGAGGCTCATGTTAATTTTTTGCCTCTGTGTTAAATCATATGTTCCGAACGTTTTGTGCTTTTTTACAGCAACCTGCTAGCTTGGTTTTATCAATTTTTTTTGATGAATTGCTCAACATTGTTTTGGTCCTTTTACAGTTTTAAGCTGTTTGATATCGTACTGAATGAATTCAGTTTCAACTAGATTTTTTAAATAGTTACCTTCTGTTTCTACTAACAATTTTAATAATCTGGTTTTGCAATTGGTGCGATGCTCTGCTTCGCCTCTGTGATGGCGAATGAAAGGGTTTTGGCGTATTACTGCGTTGCGTTGGCGTATTACTGCAATAAATCTTACAGCGATATCCGCTACCCAGAATAATTTACTATGATTTCGAGAGGGCTGAATTATGGACCCAAAAATGAAAAGATATTTTTAATTCCTCAGTATCTCGGTAGAAAACTTCCTATTCACGTCATTTTAGCCTATTTGCAAAGCTATATCAAACTGCAATCAATTATCTTAAACAAGAAGTGGTACTTCAATAGAGAATTATCAGAAAGTAAGAATGAAGCTGTGGTAAATTCTTTCTTAAGCCCAATGACTATTTAATTTCACCTTCTAAGCCCAGAATGGACAGGTTTAAAATATGGGAGGTGTTGCAGTTTGGCTTTCCTTACCATTCAAAATGCAGAGGGTTAAAAATCTCATGAATGTCGACTTGATTTGATAGTGAATCATCTTTTAGGGGAAAAATCACTGATCGATAATTTGTACTGCTCAAGAAAAATTGTTTCTCAAGATTTTTGATGATTTTTGTCGTGAAATTTATCAGGCGTTGCTTTAAAAAAGGGAATAGTTATTTTTAGAGACTACACAATAGATCTTTTAAAAGCAGGCGATTCATCAAAACTAAATAACTTTGCTGCAAATTATGATTTAACTATACCAAATACCTCAAAAGCATCGCGTGTAACGGATAATATTATATCATTTATCGACCATTCCTTAGTTTCAAACGACCAGGTAATTTTATTCTAGTTCTGGTTAATTACTTTTCAACACAGACCACTTAATGCTTTCTTATGATAAATTGATTTCATTCAACTAGAGACAAGTGATTTCCATTATTTCACTCGGAGTAAGTTCAACTTAGACTTGGAAAATATTGAAACAAACAAACGATGTTGCAGTAATAGCAAACCATACAATTCATGTTTCTTTGCAGTGATGATTGTATTCCACAAAAACCGGAAAGAAAGTATGACTGCAATGTTTAGTTTCGTTTCACAAAAAAAAAGAAATATAAAAAATAGTTAAATTACCGTTAAATAAAATGCCAGAGCCTAAGGAGTTACAAGTTTTCTGCCTCCAACCAGGCAAACTTGCTATTGGATCGCTTTTACAATTCGCAATAAATAAAAGTGTAATGCAAAAATATTTCTCATTTTTCCTTGAAACAAATATAACTGTTTTCAAAAATAGTAAAATGCAGGTTTCATCACACTTCTTGCCAATTTGTATAACAAACACGCTGTCAAAAGTTTTCGAACGCTTGCTATTAAAACAGTTTATGGAATATCTTAAACCAAGTTCGTAGTTCAACGTCTAATTTTTGAATTTCAGAAAAATATATCTGCGACAGATGCAGTTATCAGTTTTATCGGATTGATATGTGACAAGTTGATTTTAAAAAAAATTTCTTCTATATTTTATTAGAGGTTCTATCGGTTCTGTTTCTATCTTTTTTTGGAAACAATTGAATTTTATGGGTTTCCAAAAAGGCATCAAACCTCATTAAAAAATTTTAAGAGACTGTAAGCGGTGTATAAAACTTCAATTCAAAGTTGTCTTAATGCTCAATTCAACGTTTTTTTGGAACCCTTTTTTCCTTTCTATTTGTTCCTATATCTACTTACTTGTAAAAAATAAATTAAAAAGAAAATGAATTCAGAGCAATGGGCCGCTGATACAAAGTATCAAATGTGCGGAAAATTCAATGACGGACCTAACAAAGTTATTGCTAGAAATACTAGATAAAATACCTATTTGTTTTAATGAAAACAAACGGATGCTAATAAAAACAGAACTTATTGTTTCTGGGGAAGAGGTTAAGCTCGGAGAACTTATTAATAGAGATTTAAAAAAAATTTCAACAAATGAACTTAAAAACACCTGCGATAAAACATATTCAGACATGATAAATTGGTAAGACGTATTGCTTTAACAAAGCACATGTTAAAAAACAAACGAACGCACAAAACAAATAAAACAAATTGGGGACAGAAATTTATAGCAAACCATAGATGTAAAAAATGGAGAAGCTTAAACGTGAAGCTTAGAAACTAAATCTAAACGAAAATTTAAATTTGAACTTTTTCATAGACATACATAAAAAAAACCCATTGATAGATCCATTGGTTTATTCCGAACTGATTTTTATATTTCAGTGTAGCATTGGTTGAATCCTTTTTTATGAAGTTATTTGCATGCCGGTGTAATTGTTGATTTTCAACTTATTATGATAATTTCATTGTGTAGCAGCACGTATGCTTAACCAAGTGGTTTATTTGGGTTTTCATGTGTGAAAAAAAGTTCTGTGGTGCTCACTACTTGGCTAGCTGTAAATAAACCTTGTCTTCTTCTCATCTAGGTGGGCATGAGTAGTCTGGAAGATGACGAGAGTAGCAGTAAACTGTTCCCTGAGAATGCGCAGACGGAGGGAGTGATCACGGCCATCGCACTCACCCCACACTTCTTCATTTACGCCACCAATGTATGTAACCCCAAATATGGACCAGTTTGCTTAAATGAGAGGAGATCTTTTCATTTTGATCATATGTGAAGAGACAAATGATTATGATCTCTGATTCTCTGATTGTCATCGAAGATTTTTGTTAAATTGTTAAGAGTCGATTAACGTAGTGCAGACTCGTATATAAGTTCTGATGTTTTTTTTTCGTTTTCTTCAGGAACAGTATCAACATTTGTTCACGCTCGAATTTGATTTTTCGAGGTTTGACTTTTAATTTCGTTTTAGATTCAATTCATTTCCTTTGGTAAAAGAAAGGCTAACTCCACTATGGAACAGCAAACGTGTAAAGGTCACGAAAATTGTGATAGTCTTCCAGCTTCGAAAGTGAAATTTAATTTTCAGATTTCCCATGGAAATAAAAAACATTACCTAATAATCCAATTATCTCAAATTGGGTTAATGTTATCAAAAAAAGTGCCAGTGATAAATTGTTTTTGAAATTCAAAGAGCTTTAGGGTCATATATTTTTGTCAGGTTTTTTTATGTTTTCTTGCGTTCATTGACTCTTTTCCAACTGTCTTTGGGCTTTTTTATGTTCTTATGGCTGCCAACGGGAATAAGCGACCGCTTCTATTCTGGTTACAAAATTTTTCTAAAACGAACTAGTTTTTGACATCTCCCATTTGTACAGTGCTAATTTATATTATCCGGATGAAGCGAACAAAATTTGAAATTAAAAACGCATTTTTCTCAATCTTGGTTAACTTCAGACGAATAAAGATGAAGACAAAACTTGTTGAGAATTTCAGAGGAAATAATATGATGCGTTTTTTTAATGAAATTCGGGCCCAAAATTTTACCCCAAAAACGATCATTTTTGGCTTTTTTAGTCAATCAAAAGTTACGCAAAACTACCGGATCAATTGCTGCCAAAATTATAGCAAGGAATGCCTCTTATGTAGCCCAACAATGTTTTTTTGAAAGGTATACTCTCTAAAATTTAAATCAAAACGTTTTAAAAATGTTTTTAAGAGTAATGAACGTAGTGAGTACTCTTATATAGCTCTTGGTGATTTTTTGTTTTTCTTTTTTAGCCTCAATTTGGGTTTTTCCCGGTTTTACTTGTGATTTCTTTTTACATTCAGTGCATTTCCATTGTTAAAAGGAAGGTAAACTCCATTATCGAAAAGCAAAAGTGTAAAGATTACGAAAAACGTGATCGATCTCTAATTTCGAAAATAGTAATTCATTATCAGATTTCCCAGCGAAATAAAAGGTTTACCTATTGATCCAGTTTTCTCAAATTGGGTTAATTTAACAAAAAAAGTGTATATTATAAATTGCTTTACAAATTCAAAGATCTTTAAGGCCATCTATTTTTTTCTTCGAAATTTAAAAGTTGAATGTTTTTCGAAAAACAAGTCAGTTTTTTTTCGCTTGCCTTGCTTTCATTACTTTTTCCCAACTTTCAGTTGGCTATGTTCGGAAAATTGAACCTTTTTTGCTATTAAATTTTTTCTTCAAAATCTAGAATATTACTCTTCTTAGCCTTTGCTGGGAGTTACATAAGAGGCCAACTTTGATATAATTTTGACAGCAATTGATCTGGCGTATTTTTTGGTTGACTAAAAAGGCAAAAATGATCTGTTTGAGAAGAAATTTTGGGCCAAAATTTTGCCAATGAAATTTCGCCATATTATTTTTGCTAAAACTTTCAGCAAGTTATGTCTTCATCATTTCGTCTAAAGTCAACCAAATTTGCGAAAACGTGCTTTTACTTCAAGTTTTGTTCATTTTGTCCGGATAATTAAAATCAGCTTTGTATCTGCAAAAAAAAGGTTTTAAAGGGAAGAGAAGCAAATGGTCCCTCCTCAATTTTCCGGCACCCTCGCCACACAAAAGCAAAATATCCTTTTCGATTGATCAGCCCTCAAACTTTTCTTAAGGAAACTTTGTCACACATATGTTCTAATTTTAAGGAGAGGGCGCGCCCCCACTCGGCTTTATCAAATTGAATACTTTCTGAAACGTGTAAACGAAAAAAAAACAATGAAACAAAATTGATTTTGATAGAATTGGGAAGCGTACTAGTATGTATGTATTGTGTTTGCAGAAGGGATCAATCAACTACTTCTCCCTCGAAGACTGGTGTCCCATCACTCACTTCCAACACGCCAAGCCAGTCACCCGCATATTCCCAGAGATCACTGGCACCCGTCTGCTGGCTGTGGATGACATTCACCAGGCATTCGTCTACTGTCCCATCGATGACTCACTGGTGGCTGTGGAGGAGTTGCCCAATAAGGTGGAAGGGGTTTTGTGGGAGAACTATGAGCCGGATAAGGTGAGCAATTGAAGGCATAGATAAGTCTGTCAAGTTTTTACCTTACAGGGCTCTTGACAATATTGTCACTTTCTTAAAAACTTATTCGAATATTTTCGTCTTCACTTTTTTCCTTTTCGAAATTTTTAGCCATTGAAGCTGCATTTTGAAATATTTTTATTGGTGCGTGAATTGCTGGAACTCATTCTCTAAAATTTTGTTGATTTTATTTCAAACCCAAAGATTTTGTGGGCAATATTTGAGTTTTGTTGAGAATCAGTAGCGTGCCGATGGCGTATGGTGTGGTCCCCTTTGGTATAATTTAACGAGATCCTTTTTGGCTGGCCAACATCAAAAATTTTTAAAGGCGGCTTCGGCCCTAATATAGCTATTATTGAAGAAGGAGTGTTTAAAAGTGCCTGTCATTTTTAGCCTGTTTTTGTTGTAGATTGGCTGCGGCACATATAATTTTTGTTAAAAATAGGGTACGGTCCGTATAGTATTTTCGGATAGTTCAGAAAATCAAATTGGTCAACTTAAAAAGAAAAGTTGACAAAATTTTCATTTTTTTTAAAGAAAAACCGCCCCCTCCCCCACCCTAGAAAAGTTACTGCGCACGCCACTGCTGAGATATTTCGATTATTAAACATCTCAATTGTTTCAGCATATTTTTGCGACGTACGACGACAAGAATCTCCACACATTTGTCTATGTGCGCGACAGCATCTATGGTATGTTAAACACTTATAGATACCAGATTTACATGCTCGATTGAATTAAGCGTATTCCTTGAAAGTTACTTCAAAATATTGACCTCAACATGTTTTTTTTTACCGCGGTAGACATTAAAAACGTGTCTGTTTCCTTTCAGACTCCAGTTGCAAGAAGGTGGGTGGAGCTACTCCTCTGTACCACGGACACAGACCAGTGATGCTGCACAATGGACAAGTGTTCTGTCAGTCTCCAGGGGGCAAAATGATCACCATCACCCTCTCCACCCACACCAACAACAACAACCCTTCATCTGGAGGCAACACCAACAGAGACGCGAGCCAGGAAGGGGTCAATGCGGATGATGTTGTTAGTATTATACGGCTACATTTTACCTCCCAGTATCCCCCCCTCTGTTTCTTTTTATTCTGCTGACCAATATTTTTGAAAAGGTTTTAAGGATAGCAATGAATAATTATTAGGATGGAATAGATTGAATGGGGTGCTAATTTTATAGTCGATGTGGACGATCAGAAAAAAACATTATGGTAGAGGGCGCTTAGTTTCAAATACAATTTTGAAGAGTCATTTTTTGTAGTAAACTGAAGAATAAAAAGAAGACTACGTTGCTGTTTTCGTTTCAGTACCTGGACAATATGCTGAAAATGAACAAGATCCAAGACGCCCTCTCAATTCTGGGTTGCCAGAAACTGAACTCCTCCTCTGACTCCATGTCTCACCAGGGGGTCACCAGACTGAAGGGGTTTGCTGAGGCTGCTCTGGCTCATCTGAGACTGGATTATGCCATCAGGTTCTACCAGATGATGGGCGATGTGGGCATGGTGATGAACTGCAAGGACCTGCTGGTGAGTCATCAAGTCACTAGAGTTCATTTGACCGGATTTGTTTGGCTGAAAAATTTGATTATTCAAGTTTTTGTTTCTCTGTACTGTGTAGCAAGCTATAATTTTGTTCCAGGCATTGCGTAGCAAGCTCTAACGAAATTGTATAGGCGTAATGATTTTTTTGAACAAAATTTATCAGCATGGCGGAGCATTTTTTTGTGTTCTAATGTTCCATGTTTTTTATTGCTGATTTTTATTTTGCCTATATTTGGCCGTATGTTCTGAATCATTGAGTCAATTGTCCATTGTTGTTTTCTGTTTAGGCAATTGAGGACAAGCGTCTGCTTTGTGGCCACATAGCTGCATTCGTGGGGGAGTTCGACAGAGCCCAGGAGCACTTCCTCGCGAGCACAAACCCGAAAGCGGCACTCGATGTAAGTGAAATCAGGAAAGATGAAACTTAGTTTAGTGGAGTCCCTTAGAAGCCATGTGTATTTTGGTTTGAGATCTTGTTGTTCTTAATCAAGTTAGTCTGTGAAAAAACACACAATACCATTTTAATAAATAAACTTGCGATTCGCAAAGGATCTATAAAAGGCAATCCAGTCTATATAAGCATGTTCAGTTTATTATTTCTCCACATTCCAGACTGAGTTATTTTGTTGAGTGAAGCTCTTTTTTCGCGACTCCAGGCAGTTTTTTTGCGTCTGGGAATTTTACGTGGTACCACTATTGCAGCCGTAATTGGTCAGGCTGTGGTAGACGTGAAGCTAGAGGTCAAGTGAGAGCTCGTCCTCACACACTATCATTGTCATGACATTGGATCGATTACACGATCTGATGATCTTGAAGATCCGAGTTTTCCGGATTTTTGCTTTTAAAATAATTACTCATGCAGAGCTTGTATTACCTATAATTATGTAGTGGTTATTATGCTTTTGGTATTATGTAGAGTTATTGACTTTATCGAAAACGAGATTACTTATCCTGTTTGTTTCATAAGCTACATGAAGAAGAAATGTTTTGTGTAGATGCGTCGTGACCTGTTGCATTGGGAAACAGCGATGACTCTGGCCCAGAACTTGAGTCCAGAGGATCTACCGTTCATCTCTAGGGAGTATGCGAACCAGCTGGAGTTCCAGGGAGACTACTTGAATGCACTGCAGCACTTCGAACAGGGACTGAATGTAGACGACACAAACACACAGGGCAGTCTCATTGGACAAGTATGTCATTTGAATATCATCATGAATTATTACGTTTTTTTTTTACATGAAGACACATCGTTGTTGATATATGGAAGCTTACTGATAACGTTGGATTGTCTCTTGACAATTAAATAAGATTTTAAATACGTAGGAATTTAATTGTACCAGCTGCACTCATGGCTTAAATTAAGTTAATGATTTAATGTTCGACATGTTTACAAGCTGTTTAATGCTTCTTTTGTCGATTTAACTGGAGCGCATCTAGGAATGTTTTGCCGGCGAGCTAATAAACCAGCTGTTTTTTAGGTCGTTATCACCGTTATTTAGGTAAATTGAATTTATCATCCTTGCTTTTTCCAAACAGGATCCTACTTTGCCGAAACTGCTGCGAAATGTCGGAAAAAAAGTGCAAAAAAGCCGTGTTGGAATCTTTTTGGTGCCTGGCACGCACGCGCTCTCCCATCGAAATTAGTTACATTTAGCTCTGAAAGCGCCTTCACAAAAAGTTTCATAAAATTGTACCCCGATGGTGTGGGCATTTTCTGAGGGGTGGACTTTGTGCTTTTTCTTTTAAACTACTACCCTGCTCATACGTTTGTTTCAGGGTTGCTTCCTTGCTTACATCTGGATAAACAGTTATTAACCGGTTCAGTTCTGTTGTGTTGTGTGTGTAGGCGGAGAGTGAGCATCAGATAGGCTGTGCGGCTGGAGTGGCGAGGACTGCCATCCGACTGGGGGACATCAGAAGGGGCATAGGCATAGCACACACCCACCCCAGTAGAGTGCTCAAGAAGGAGTGTGCCGCCATACTGGAACAAATGAAGGTGAGTTGTGAAAGATAGAGTTATGCACTACAGTCATTGCAGTTTTAATTGTTAAGAATGATGAACGTAGAAATTAAGAGTCAATGAAAATAGCTCCGGTTGTTATGCAGGCTGCGATGATTTTTTTTTTTGGTTTTTTTTTTCAGGAAAAGCCTTAGAATTTGTTCAGACTCAGATTTACTTTTTCGAGGTTTGACTTTTGATTTCTTCGTAGTAATTAGAACATAATTGAAAGATGCCCGAGGGAAAAAGAGCCCTGCCTGAGGGCACGAAGTGCCCGAGTGCGGCTCTTTTGCTCGAGGCCATCTTCATTATGTTCTAACTGTTGAAGAGTATGTTTTTGCTCTTTCTGAGGGGGAAAGGTGCCAGAAAATTGTGAAAGAGCCCGGAAAAGTGCGCGAAACTAGTAAATGATTTCTTTTTTGATTGATGCCTTCTCGTGAAAGAACATGTGTGAAAGAGCAAAAACAAACTCTTCCTAAGTTCAGTTCATTTCTTTTAAGGAAGGCAAACTCCACTATCGAACAGCAAAAGAGTAAAGGTCACGAAAAATGTGACCGATTTCTAATTTCGAAAGGCATTTAATTTTCTGTTTTCACAGCGGAATGAAGTTTTTGCCTATTGAATTCTCAAATTGGTTTTCTCCAATTGGTTTATTTTCATCAAAAAAGTGTCAATCATAAATTTTTGCAGAAATTCAAAAAGCTTAAAGGTCATCTATTTACAGTTGGTATGTTTTTTCTGTTTAATTGCGTTCATTAACTCTTTTCCAACTGTCTGTTGGCTATGTTTACTCTTATATAGACCTTGATGATTTTTACTCTTGATATAGGTCTTTGTTTATTACGGTTTGGCTTTCTTTGAATTCTTTTTATAGAGTTACTGCATTTCGTTGAGAAAACAGGATAAGAGTTGAGAAAACAATGTTTTTTTTCGAGTAATTTTTTTTCATCAATCCCTACTTCAACAAGAAAAGAAACACGACGAAAAATGTAGGCTTGCCTCTACTTCAAATCATGTGACTTTCGAATAAAAAAAACTTTTTGGGTCATCTTGAAGCCGAACTGGCCTTATCAGTTCCTTTCGTCGCAATTATCCATTGTAATGAATCAACATATGCTTTTTTGGTGCAAAGACTATGAAAAAGGGAGATAGCATGCTTGTGAGTTGATTGATTTGTTGTTTCAGCAATACATAGAGAGTGCGCAGTTGTATGAGAAGGCAGGCTTCTATGAGAAAGCGGCCACAGTCTACATCAAGTGCAAGAATTGGTTAGTTGAATTCCTGCTCACCAAAAAAAAGGATCAACTAATGATTGAACCAGTTGTTTTTTAAATGCATTGCAGAAAGAAAAGTTATTATGGTGTAATGTTTCGTGACCAGGGGTAAAGTGGGAGAGCTGTTGCCACATATAACATCTCCTAAACTGCACCTGCAGTATGCGAAGGCGAGAGAGGCAGAGGGCAAATTCAGAGAGGCCATCCAGGCATACTCCTCTGCCAAGGACTTCGACAACGTCATACGGTCAGTAATCACTGCTTCACTCTACGTCACTATACTTCAAGAAGCTTACTAAGATTTTTTTCAATTTACGATAGAGCTTTTTGCTTTAGTTCGGAAAAGTGCTTCCATCAAGTTTTCTTTAGCATTTTAAACTTCGCCTGATTGTTAGCATCTTTAGTACTTTCTAAACACAGCCGCTTGTTTTCACAACCTTCCAGATTATTCTAGATTTGAAGAAGGATAAATGGTTGGCAGATATTGTCAATCGAGTAGTTTGTGTGTGTTTAGTATTCTGGTGGACCATCTGCAGAATCCGGAGGAGGCAGTGCGCATAGTGAGGGAGACAGGGTCCATAGAGGGGGCAAAGCTAGTGGCCAAGTGAGATAGCTGATCATTCATATGTTTTCGAGCCTTGAGCATTATACCATATGGGGGAACGTGGGAACGTTTTTTGTAATTGTTTACAAGAGCTGATCGAAAATCAATTCCGAATTATCTGCGCGGAATATGCTTAAATTATTGTGCAGAAACACACTTATGTATAGCCATCTGAAATGAAATGGAGTTCTTTGTGTGGTGTAGGTTCTTCGTGCGTCTGAATGACATGGAGAGTGCGATCCAGTTCCTGGTGATGTCCAAGTGTCATGACGAGGCCTTCCAGCTGGCATCCACACACCACCACATGAAGACATACGCCAGTATATTGGGTAGGCACTACTACTACTAGCTGCGCATCTCAGCCAATTGACTTTCTTCTTTTTTTTTCATACTTTCATCTTTTCATGGCATGTTATGGGTTGCTTGGAAATGTTTTTTTTTACAATGGATTTGCTCCCTCTTCTAGCGAGGTGTAGTAAAGATTGAACTCTGAAAAATTCCTGCTGGTAACTGTTATAGCTGATCTAGGGTTTCGTATTTTATACTTGCATCAATGCAAGGAAGGGGAGCGGATCGCTATTAGCATGGAAATTAAGGTTGGAACTCTGAAAGCTCAAACATTTATCGAATGGAATTTTCCCGAGCGAAATATCTTCCAACATAATTTTTCTGCTGAAACAAAACGACAACTGAATCAGAATTTAACTGATAAGGTCAAAAACCAAAATATATATTTTTTAGAATTTACTGTGTTTCAGGCGATGATGTCTCTGAGGAGGACTACAAGAGTGTGGCTGTCTATTTCGAGACAGAGGAGAAGGACCCCTTCTTAGCTGGGAAGTTCTTCTACAAAAGCAAGCAGTACCCCAGGGCAGTCAAACACCTCCTCCGCTGTCCCATCACCCCCGCCACTGAGAACGACCCCAACATAAACCCCATTGAGATAGCCATCAAGGCCGTGAGTTAACAATGTTTTCTCTGCGATTAGCAAGCGTTATCAAATCGGAATGAAGACTTTTTTTATCGGGGTTTAATAAAATCTATTGAACCGCTTCTCAATTTCAGCTGAACTGCTCAAAGCAGCTGACATGCTCAATTTAACTATTGAGTGGGTACTAATTATTCTGAAATATCTGACTCATGAGAATCTGCAGCTCAAACTCTCCTAATTACGGCAAAACATTTTCTTATCAAGATGTGTTCCAACACCGTGTTTCCTTTTTTATGATCGAATGTTAACATTATGAGGTAACTGTCCTTCTATATTTTGACTCCGCGTCAAGGTAGTGGATCCGCCTAGTAAGTTATATTTCAAATTGAATAAAGGCGTTATTTTTTAGTAGTTGTTTGTTTACTTGGTTCAAATTTCATAAAATCTTCCCCGAACTAAAGCTTCATCTCGCACTGCAGTTTTGTTTATAATAATTCATTACGTTAAGAGATCGTTATCTGTCTCATTAAAAGAACAAAAAAATGTAAAAGTTTTTTGAGAAATTAATGGATTATAAAAATCCATTTAAAATTTAGTTCGTTGTCCAAGGACTTGAGAGTATATTGCATTGACAAAATTTTAGTCTACTGAAATCCACTTTAATCGATTTCTTCCGCTAAACTTAGATGCGGGATAAAACTTAACCGTATGATTGTATTTGTACTAGGTGGGTGAGGCAGATGATGAAGTGTTGACGCACCAGTTGATGGACTTCCTGATGGGGGAGTTCGACAATGAGCCCAAAGATGCCAAGTATCTGTTCCGCCTCTACATGGCACTGGGACAGTACAGGGAGGCAGCCAAGACAGCCACCATCATCGCTCGGGAGGAACAGAACAGCGGTAAGCCAGATAGATTGTGATCCAGTTATCCGTAGTTATCTCCGACAAAGATATGGGCTGGCGGGGTGGATACTATCGTTTCCTCGATGAGTCAGTCACCCGATAGTTTCGTATGTTATTTTCAGTAATCAGGTGGCTCTTTTTTAGAAAGCGGAGTTTGTATTATGATAAGAGTCCTTTTTCCTTTTTAGCTCGTTCATTATTGTGTTAAGTTTCGTAAAGTTTAGTTTCCACTTGGCGAATTGGTAAGCATGAGCTATAATTTGCTTGCTTATAGCGCATTAGTTAAGCTGAAGTATGTTTGAGAATATGAGTAAGAGTTAAGGAAAGTAGTTATGCTTCTGTGGTCGATGTCTATGGCCGCTTGTTGCTTATCGATAACGCGGCCCGAAGTGGGAAGCTTAAGTTGTTTGTAGATGCCTTTTTTAATGTTTTTTTTTACACAAGAGGAGCTTAGTCTCATATTACGGTATCCACTTGTTTCTAATCTAAGTCGCAAATCAAACGTTTCATTTGATGCATGTTGACCACTTGGTATATATTTATAGACGGGGCTATAAAAATAATTATTTGGTCTATATTTTTTTCGAAGTCAATGTTTTTTAGAGATCATATAGCTCGAAATTTGTGTGTTTTCAGATGCGATTGGGGAAGTGCAGAGTTATCTTTTTTCATTTAGGCATTATTTTATTCTATAGAATTTTTTCAAAAAGTTAAAATCAGGTCCAAAATACATAACATATTATGTATGATCGTTTCTAGAAGGTCTATATTTTTCTGAGAAAATAGTGGTAAGTCCGATGTGGTGACACTTCTGCATTTTTCCATCTGGTTTACTTTCGCTGCGTACATTATTTTTTGTTTTTGGTTTATTGATGGCTAGTTGTTTTTGATAAAAACATGTATTATGAAAACGTTTGGGATTTGGTTTTTTAATTATTATTTGAAACGCTTTATGGAAAGTTTTGGCACTTTTCGCAAATTTGTGATTTATCTCTGAATTACTTTTCAAAAAAATTGTATCAATGGAAAGATTGGCGACTCTCCCTCGTGAATGCGTATTCCGCTAGTCTATTTTCACTCAACGCTTACGGCATTCGAATGTTTCAGTGCGGGAATTTTCGACCCATTTTAATGTTTTCAATTTCTCAAGAAGCTACCCTGCCAATTTTGAGATTTGGGCTCAATCAAAATAACGTGTTGTTGGGATCTTTCTTGCATAAGCTGCTAGTGTTCAATTTTTGTAGCAATTGAGTTACGACACTAGAAGTAATCCAAGTTTTGTATGCACTTTTCGAGTTCAGCTCAAACTTATCCGCTTAAAACTAATTAAGTTGCGCTCTCCAATTGGGAAAGTGGGAATAGCTTGAAAAAAAACATGATAGATTTCTAGTTTCGAAAGTGGATTTTGAAAAGGTTTTGAAAATTTGACTGATTTAAAGAAAAAAGTGGAAATCAACAGTTCTTGAATATCGAAGAGCTTTTATATTATTTTCAAAAATTTAAACATGATCAAAAATCAATTTTTTTTCGGTTTTCTTGTTCTTTACACTTATCTAATCTTCTATTGGCTTGGTTTTTTGAATGACTAAGTTTTTTTTTCGGTTTTCTAGGTTTTACTTTTTTGTCTCTTGATACTTTTTCTATCACAGTTGACCGATAACAACGCTCTTTTCCCTGTGTTGATGTTTTTACGGTTTATTACACAAGCAAAGCTTGTGTGATTGTATGATTTCTTTTTTCCCAATCCAAGTCGCAAATATTAGTGTTCATTTTAAAAGTGTTCGTTTTGATCCATAACCAGCTATTAAGTATAGCCAATGCCATGGATATTAACACAGACTATTATATTACAAATTGCACTTTAGCATCAATTTATCATGGATCTGTAGCGTAGAAGTAGGGAAGGAAACTCGCAAAAAAATAAGAGGGTTGGAACCTGGGCAGGGTCGGATGTGTTAATGAAATTTTTCGTATACTAGTTAAATTGAGTCCGCTCTATAAATTGAGGCATATTAGTTGGTAATATTCTTTTTTTTTCATATTGACTGGTACTGCTAGTGCGTCATTATTGGCTTGCGTCACTTAGCTATTCTGTTGACTCATAATTGGCGTGCGTCACTCATTCAGTTTTTCCCGGTAGCGTTATCGGTCATATTTTTGCTTGTGTATGCGAAGTGCAATTTCGCCTCTGTTTGTAAATTTATTCACAGCAAACTTTTTTAGAAGAGCAAAGTGTAGTGTGACAAAACTCTGAAATTTTTTTCCCCAATTTAAGTCGCATATAATAGTGTTACTTTCGACCTATTTGAAAGTGCTAGTTAAGGTGGTATTTTTGAATGTGAAGGCTGCATTGCCATTATAATATTATGTTTTTCGACATTTGATTTGTAACGAGTTAACACAGTGGACACTTTTTTGATTAGCAAAGCGTAGTGCTTTATTAAGAGAAAATTTTTTTAAAACCTAAGTTGTAAATGAAAGTGCTCGTTTGGTGGCACTTTTGCTATATTTCAATTTAGTCATATTTAAGCTTTTTGAGGCAGTAACAATTTAATGGCATATGTTGCTGCCTTATTTTTGTCTACTATTAGGTCCTGTTTGAAAAAAAAACCATGTATTATGTAAATGTATGGGCTTTGTTGTTCGTTTTTTTTGCGACGTTTCGGAATTTTTTTCTCTTTTCGCAGAAATTTCACTTTTTCTCAAAACTACTGTAGCGGGTTTCAAAACAAAAAATGGTACCAATCAAATAACAGGCTGCTCTTTTATGTGCCTGCATGTTTCACTACGTTCTACGGCCTTCGAAAGTTTCAGTAGGGAGACTTTTGGCTTATTTATTTTGAATTCTGTTCAATTTTGAATGTACAAATCTGAGATGAAGGTTTCAATCACATTTACATTTTATAAGGAGCTCCCTTTCTCAAGTAGTTATTTTCTAAAATCAGTAGAAAAAAGATATAGCCTCGAACAAGCCCATTCTATGACATATTGATTAATTTTAAAACTTTTTGATTTTTCTCAAAAACAACCCTGCCAAATCGGCTTATCCGAGAGCAAAAAATTATTTACGCAAATCTTACTTGCGTAAGCAACTATGCCCTGAATTTTGATTTAAAAAAATATGGCCTTAGAAAATGTCCAATCTTTGAATTTTTGCCCGTTTTTTGGAAAGTTATTGTTTTTTTTTAAATTAACTTCTGATTCTGAGGTTGATACGTCATTGAAACTATCATTGTGCTTAGATTTTCCCTCCCTAATATGGTTTGTTAACTTCTAAAAATCAGGTCGAAGAAAGCAAAGGCTCTTCCATTGTTTTAGTAGAGAAAACTTTATAGATTTAGGAAGTCAATTTTTTGAGTTTTCGATCGATAGTTGAAAACTTGTTAATTTTTTCTTCGAAAACTACACTGCCAATCTGAGATAAAGACTCCAATGGAAAGAGAGATTGTAGTTTTCTCCTTAAATTAAGCGGTTAAACCCTTATTCATGTAGAAAAACTCTAGGGTTTAGCGTAAAGTCCTTTTTTTCGAAATTTTGAAAATTTTGCATTTCTGTATCAGTGAAATATATGATTAAAAACGGTCTTGGAGCAGATATGACAACGTTATACCCCTTATCTCAACAAAAATTTTCTAAAGTTTTTTTTGCAATTCTTCGCTTGTGTTTGCAAGGCGCAGCTTTGCTCGGTTTGTTATATTATAAGTTTATATTTTACTTGCAAAATTGTGTCTATTTTTATTAGTTGCATCGCATTGGTAATTTATTGGCTCATAGAGCTCCTTCGTTTGCCAATTGTTTAGCGTTCGTGGCAAGAGGGCAGGGCGTGAGACTCCAGGTGTCGAAGTTGCAGATTCGAAACCAGTTCTTAGCAGAATTTTTGTAAATTCGAGCTAGTGTTTGCGAAGCGCTGCTTCGCCGCTGTGTAAATGAAGCTGGCGCGAAAAAAGCGTTGAAAAAAGGGGTTCATAATGAAAGATTTTTAATGTTCATAAGCTGAATTAATTTTGACGTCGAAATAGAGTTCAAAATCTCCAAAAGCTACAATTTCATTTTTATTACCTAGAAGAGGAAAAATATTAATATACAGTCGCAGAATAGCTGGAACAGATCTTGATTGGGGTTAGCTGAAAAGGCTCTTTTCCATTCCCCCTTGGTTTTCTGAAATGATTTTATGAATATTGATGTTATAAAATAACGTGTGAACAAAAAACGTTTGAACAACTTCTTTCGCTTCGAAATTGGCGTATCATCAATTTTAGGTCATTTAATATAAAAGTTTTACGAAGGGAGTCGGAAGGTGAAATTGGAAAAGAGCCTCTGTAAAATGCATCATATCAAAATAAGATAGTTGTTACACTGATTTGGATATTATGGCTGAATAGAAGCTAAGAACAGGTTTGGGTTAATCTTCCACACTACTCCTGGCCTGTTGTAGTCCCGTACAAACATCGGTTTCTGATCAGAAGGGAACTCTGGTTCAGGCTTTGAATCAGATTCTTTCACCCGGCGTCGTCTGCATGTCACATCTTTCCAATAGCATCTGATGTTGTGATTCAAATTGTGTTTGTAGTTTCCTTTAAAACAACCATTCCGTAGGTGTACAGCAGTATCGTCCATTTAATACGTAGAATTCAAAATTTAAATTAAAATGGTTCAAAAAAATTATTGGGATCAATTTAAATTTTTCCGAAACTACCTAATTTTTTTTAATGGCAATTGAGTGATGTAAAGTGACGTTTCTAAGCTTTGGATAAATATACATGTTTTTTTTCACTGGTTTTCTAAAATTGTTTACAAATAGATGCAGTAGTTTAAAAAAAACGGGATAGGGAGCAAAATTTTACCGTTGTGCTATTAAGTCATCAAAGTCCAATTGATTTTTCGCACTTTTAACTCGTGCTGTTTTTTTAAGTCTGTTTTTTCTAGTTCAGTTTTTAATCGTTTGACTATTGATCCAAGTTTGACTCTTTTCTAAGTTACAGTAACAAATTTTGACGTTCAAAAGAACGAACTGAAGACACAAAATCAAGTCACGTCATTTTGACTTCTGATTTTTTTTCAATCCCACTTCAAGATCATTTGCCAAAAAAAAGCAAACTAAAATATCAAATGGCAAAAGTGCAGATGGCGCAAAAAAAAGAGATCGATTTTCTATTTCAAAATAGATTTTTTTAAGATTTCCGAACAGAGTAAAAAATTAGCGTGGTGCAAAAACTCCTCGAAAGCGACAAATGGCTGCAGACCATGCATATGGATAGTTTTGCGAAAAAATCAATGTAACAGACTTTTGTTACTTACTTACTTACTTACTTACTTACTTACTTACTTACTTACTTACTTACTTACTTACTAAGTAAGATTTGAAAGTGCTGCAGGTAATATTGTCGTGTTGAAAAAAATGAACTTTGTTCAAAAAAATTGTTTTGTTTATTTTCTTTTAATTCATTAATAGTTTTTCAACAGTGCTCTAGTTAAGTGTTTGTAACTTTACATCCGTTTCAAAAAATTTTAAAGCCCATCACCACAACAATTTGTAGGATGTTTTTTGGCCGTTTTCTAGTTTTTGTTTACCCCCACTTTTAATCTCAAAGAGTGGCTACTGAACATAGGTATAAACATCTTGTCTTGGTGCTAGTGATTAGCGTTTGGTTTGGCTGGTTTTTGAAAAATGCAAAAATATATCAAAATTCATCGTAACAGAAATTTGTTTGGGATTTCAAACTTTTTCTTAGATAATTGACTTGCTTGTCTTGTTAGAGCTATTTTAAACAGCAATCAAATATGGTGACAGATAAGCCAGCCGAAATTACGCAGTTGTAATATAATAGCAACTTTTCGGCTGGCTAACATACTCTGCACATTTTCGGTTAGTTTGTACTTATTCACTCACTCAGTTTTTTTAAGTAGTGGAACGTCAGCAGTTCTTGTTTGCGATCGAGGTTGTCTATAATCTATCCGAAATTTTTTTCGACGATTGTATAAAAAAAGTTTTGATCGAAAAAAGAGATTTCTCACTAAATGACTACTTATTAATAAACCGTCGATGAACGTACTTGTTTTTTTTTCATCTCGATCAAGTTCAGGTCAAATTTGATCATTCGCGGTTTGATTTCATTTGCTCAAAGAAAGCAATTATTCTCTCCAATTAAGAAAGCGGAAACGGCGAGGAAAAGGGTGAACGACTTCTATTTTTGAAATTTCGTCTTTTCAAAATAAGTCAAGTTTCGCCCATTTTCTGAGTTTTCAAGTTTTAATTTGTACATGTTTAAATTGTGATCTAATTTTTTTTAGCTTTGAACAAATCTGTCATTTAAACACTATTATTTAAACATAAATTGGCGCGAAATAAAGCATTTGACCTTAAGTTTCAAAACAATTTTTTTGAAGAATTCCCAGCCAGGAAAAAAAGTACCCATCGACCTAGTGTCCAGAATGGAAAGTTTTTGTAATTCAAAAAGCTATAAGGAGATTTAGTTTGTTCTAGTAGGCTTGAAAGTGGGGAAAAAAATAAATCCGTTTTTTCAATGTCCCTGAGTTTTTTGGCTCTGTTTCGATTGTTTTCAGGCCATGTTTTTTTATTGGTCCCCGCAGCCTTGTATATCCACTTTCAAAGATTGTATGATAATGCAGCGATGATACTGTTAATGCAGCGGTTAATTAAGGGTCCAATTACGCGGAGAAGAAAAGTAGTGAGCAGAGGGGTTGAAAAATCTTAATTTGAAAGTTTTGGAAATTTGAAAGTTTTGGAGCTGGAATATTAAAGAACGAAGAAGAGGAGAGAGGGGGGTTGAAAAGCTATGAAGCGCCTACACTTAACAAGATCCGTGAACTTGCCTAGAAAGTCTGCCAAAGTGCTTCTCTTTTTGAGGAGTCGCGTGATTGGGATCCCTATCGTCTGCTGTTGCACCTAAAGTTCAATCATGTTTGTTCGGAGTGTTCTGTTCCAAATTCCGTGTTTCGTTTTCAAAATAACTATTCGATCAAAATCAACTGTTTCATCAACTGTTAAATGGCATTGAAGTGTCATTTGTTTTACTTACCGTTAAAAGGAGGAAAAAGACCAAAGATAATTTCAAAATTAATCGTTTCTGCATTTTGATTATCTCAATAGTTTTTTTTTGATAACTTTCTGTAATTGAGTTACTGTTTTTCTAAATTAGCAGATGCTAAATGGTATTTTGCTCGTTGAACTTCAGAGTGTTGTTGTCATAACTGATTTGTCTATGTGGCTGACTGTGTTGCTACCAGCTGATTGACAGAGAATATTGCATCTGTTTTGATATATTTTGAGATGCTAGATAAGGTGGGAACTGAAAACCAAGGCTGACAGTTAAGGACTCCCACTTTATCTGTTTTAGTTGGAAAGTAAAAGTCTCAGTCATAATTACATAAATGATATTTACCGTTCTGAGAAGTTACCATCATAAATTTAGTCCATTGATATTATTTATTGGTGAAGATTCTGTGAAGTTTACACCGAAGGGACCATATGCGCTGAATACCAAGTACTCGAGTGGATTTGAAGTTTGACGTTGGGGTGCATTGATTGCCTTTTAAGGCATTTTTTGCTGATTAACCTTGAAAGGACTGGTAATCAGCCGCCAGAAAAGGTCTTAGTTGACTAAAAATAGCACGCGGTCGTCAAACCAAAAACTTCTAAAATTAGATGCTTTATTACTTTCGGACGATATATGAAAAGTGTATAAAATTTTATGAAGTTGGTTGTAAAAATTGATGTTGAAAAAGTGTTCGTTAAGAAAACAATTGGGGCCGAGTGGGGAAGACGCGCGTCCTTTAATACAAGGTTGTGGGTTAGAATCCTGCTTCGGTCACACAGCCCCCCGCACCTCTTTCTGAAGGTGGGACCGGGTGGGGCAAAAGGGATGACATCTCTCTCCCCCATGGAAAAAAAGGCCCAAGTTTGAATGGTGGGAGCTGGGCCGGAGGCGAAAAAAGGCGCTACACAAGGATAGTCAACAAAATAATCAACAAGATGTGAATGATGTTGTATGTGTTTTGTTGTTGTTTGTTTGCAGGCAACTACAGGATCGCACACGATGTGTTGTTTGGTATGTTCGCGGACCTGAAGGACAACAGCATCAAGATTCCTCAGGAGATGGCCACCAACTTGATGCTCCTTCACAGCTACCTCCTAGTCAGAGTGAGTCATTCATGATCTGAACTGTTGTAATTGTTCAATGACAATCTTAGCTCGAAAGCGAAAAGTTTCGGACATGCTCTGCTGGATTTTAGCAATTGGAATTTTCAACACGGTTTTAATCTTCTGCTCCATAATTTCCGTTGAGCAACTCTCATGCTGGTCTTTTTCCAGGTCGATCAGTAGTTTTAAATCCCAATGAATCATAACAAGTCTGATAAAAACTAGGGTATATCCTGCATTAAAAAAATGTGGATTGGGGATAATAATTGGATAAAGAATGTGCATCACTTTGTTTTCATCTCATAATTTTTCAGAAAAGGTTTAAAAAAATTAAGATTTTTGTTTTGTTTTCAGGTGCACGTGAAGAAGGGCGACCACTTGAAGGCGGCCAATCTGTTGGTTCGAGTGGCAAACAACATCTCCAAGTTTCCATCTCGTAAGAAGCTGTTGCGTTGCCCTTTCTAGCTATCAACTCCCGAATTGCATCTGAAACCTACCCAATCTATACTAATGCATATTTTTCTGGCAACATTTGGGTTAATAATGCGGACTTGTATTAATTGAAATGAATTTAAAAGAAATCGAAACTAGAAATAGCTTAGGATTGTGCAAGTCTTGACTTTTTTAGGATTCGATGAAAGTAGTTCAGACTCTTATTAAGAGTAATGAACGTAGTAAAGACTCTTATATATGTCTTGCAGATTTTTTTTCAGGAAAAAGTCTTAAAATTTGTTCACGCTCAATTTTGATTTTTCGCGGTTTGATTTGTGATTTCCTTTTAACTTCATTGCATTTCCATTTTTAAAAGGAAGGCAAACTCCACGCAGCAAAATTGTAATGGTCACGAAAAACGTGATCGACTTCTAATTTTGAAAATGGAAATTAATTATCAGATTCCCCAGCAAAGTAAAAGTTTAACTTGTTGATCCAGTTTTCTCAAATTGGGTTAATTTTAACAAAAAAGTGTTCATCATACATTGTTCTACAAATTCAAAGAGCTTTAAGGCCATCTAATTTTCAACAACAAGTTTTTTTTGCAGTTTCTTTGCGTTCATTAATTTTTTCCAGTTGGCTATGTTTACACTTGCCAGCGTAGTTTAATAGTGCGACTATTCTTTTTGGCAACCTAAGTCGCAAATGTTAGTGCTACTTTTGGTGGCATGTTTTAAGCTGGTTGCATTATCAGTTTGATAGCATGTGCTTGGGATAGCATTCGATTAGTAATAAGGTAACACAGTTAGTGCATTTTTAATTAATCAAATGAGCTGAAAAAGCCATTTGTTTCACACAACAGTATAATCATTAAAAAGTTTTAATTTTCACGCCTATTTCACCTTTATTTTTCTTATTTCATTTCTTAGAGCTGCTTTTTGTCGTTTTATCGCTGGTGATTGCGAAGCTGAGCTTCGCCTCTGTCTATAAGTTATGATGCTTTTGTTTTTCATTAAAACTCTTAAAATTCGTTCAGGCTGGAATTTGCTTTTTCGTGGTTTGACTTTTGATTTATTTTTGAGTTCAGTTCTTTTCCTTTGTCAAAAAGAACGCAAACTCAAATATCGAACGGCAAAAGTGTAAAGGAGGTCACGAAAAACATGATCTACTTATAGTTTCAGTTTGCATAGCGAAAAAAGTCCTATTGATTGTGCTTAAAGCCTAGAGCTTCAAGGCCATTTTTTCTTTGAATTTCGAAATTGAGATGTTTTCAAAAATATAAGTAAGTATTTTTTTTCTTGTACTTGCATTCGTTGAATCTTTTTCAACTGTCTGTTAGCTATGTTCTGTTTGTTTTTAGCTGAGAATAGTTGTTTGGTTATTATTTCAAGCGTAATCTGGGAATGAAAATTGTAACATTTCAATTGTTCTCTGGTAGAAAAATTGGGTTACATAATTGTTCCGACAACTGAAAGTAGAAATTCGCGCTATATCAGATATTCAAGTACCTCAAATAATTTTCAACTGGATCTGAGTGATATACCATGTTAATATTCAAGTCAGTCTTTATAGCCGTGATTCGATCAATTTTTTTGAAATTATGATAAGTTTTAGCCGATGTCGAGAAAAACTGAATTGATGGTCTTGCGTTTTGGACAAATTTACAGCTAGGAGTGTGAAGATGAGTCGCACTTTGTTTTGATGAAGATTTTTCAAGTCTCGGAATATTTTCTATGCTTAAGTTAAGCTGTTTGTAACTCGTTCTTTACACTAACAAGCTTGCGAGCGTTAGTGTATTTATTAGTACGAACCTTCTTTTTTCTAACCTAACACGGAGTGGTTAGTGCGTGAAACTCATGATCTCTAGGTCGCAGATCGAATCCGAGACGTAGCCGAATTTTTATTTCATAGTTTTTGAAATTCAAGATAACTAAGGTCGAATTTTTTTCAATTTCTTGCACAGCAACCGAATACTCTTGTTAAGAGTAATGAACGTAGCGAAGACTCCTATATAGGTCTTGCTAGTTTTTTTTCAGGAAATGTCGTAAAAGTCTCTAATAACTACAGATGCGCATTCTTACATACTAATGCATTTATGAATGCACTTAGAAACATATGCATTTTTTGAGTTCCATTGAGAATCATCTGCTGAAAGTGACATAAATAGTACTCAACGATTTCTAGTTTCGAAAGTGGAATTTAATTTTTAGATTTCCAGCGGAATAAAAACTTAACATAATAATCCAGTTTTCTCTTGTTGGGTTCATGTTATCAAAAAAGCGCTAGTCATAAATTGTTCTAAAAATTCAAAGAGCTTAAAGGGCATCTATCTTTCGAAAGTTGAAAGGCATCTATTATTCGAAAGTTGAGTTGTTTTCAAGAAATTCAGTGTTTTTTTAATGTTTACATACGTTCATTATTTTTTTCCAGTCATCGATTGGCTATGTTAGTAAAATTTTGCTGTTTTATTGTAGATGTGATCCAGATTCTGACTTCGACAGTGGTGGAGTGTCACAGATCAGGCATGCGTGGATCTGCATTCGACTATGCCTCCATGCTCATGCGTCAGGAGTACAGACAGAACATAGACCCCAAGTACAAGTCCAAGATAGAGAACATTGTACGGTCAGTGAGATGCAAATTATAATTAAAACAGTTAAAAGCACTTTTTAAAGCTTTTCAGTGATGATATATGAAAATTTATGAAAACTTAATCTATGAAAAGTTGAAGCAAATTCTTAAAGCGAATAGTCAGCCGGTTTTTCCCAGTTTCCTCAAATTTGTTAACTTTTCCAACAGTTTTGCCAAATGTAAATGTTTGTTGGCTATATTTTGTTTTGACTTGTTTTAATTGTGAAGTGGTGGTATCGATGTGGTGTTGCAGGAAGCAGGACAAGAGCGAGATAGACGCTGGCACTTCTGCCTGTCCCTACTGCAACTTCGAACTGCCAGACTACCAGCTGAGCTGCTCAGAGTGCAAGAACAACGTGCCCTACTGCATTGCCACTGTCAGTCTATTTTCTATTCATTTCACACAACTGTTTCACAATTATATCTCACTACTCATAACGGGATTCTTCTTAATTAGAAAACCGAAAACCATTTCTTCGCCTGCTTTTTTTCGCTCTGGTCTAAGATGTAATATCATTACGCAAGAGCACAGAGCAGAATATAATTAGAAAAAATCTACCTGTTTGTTAACAGGCTGCAAGTTCTGCTCAGTTAATAGGAAAACTTACTGTTATTTCAGGGCCGTCACTTGGTGAAGGACAACTGGACCGTGTGTCCTGTGGAAAAGTGTGGCTTCCCGGCTATATTCACAGAGTTCCAGGCGTGAGTAGTTAAAAAAAGCAGTTTGGGTTTCCCGAAAAATTTATAATTTATGAAATCTTTCATTCTTAGTGCTTTTCAAATTCAGGGCACAAAATTTATTTATTTGTCAGAAAAATCACTTTTGTTTGCAGCTAAAACTCCTTAATCACAGTAATACAAAACTTTTGGGCGAAATTTTCAAGTTTTCTGAAAATAATTATTGTTCCGACAATCTCGGTTTCGCGTCGGTTGTGTTCAGCCAATTTTGACTGCCTCTAGGGAGTCAAATGTTATCATATTAAAGCTCTTTGGTTGTGATCCGGGATCTAAAAGGGAAAATTTGAAAAAAAATTTCTCTATGTCGAGAAAAACAGGTTCAGATTAATTTAGATTAGACGAATTTTGATGAGAGTCTAACAGTGCGTCTATAATTTCAACATTGTGTTTTTTTTTATCAATGATCACTTCTGTTCTTCGTTTTTTGTTCACATTATTCAGTCATCCTCGGCGAAAATAAAGAATAGCTGTACCACTAATTGTGGAAAACAGTTTCCTTCTAATAATTTTGTCTTTACTTCTGATTTTTTTTTGTTGTGGTGGGAGTTTATTATGGTGGTCGGAACTTTCTGTGCTATTTGCACTGCAACCGGAGGTTATCCTTGTTATATTTCTATCGCTTCTGCTGAAAGTCTTGACAAGTTATTATGTTTCTTTTTGTAGTTTTCTGGAAAGTGAAGGTGGTTGTCCCATGTGTGGTACTGTGATGCCAGCTCACTCTGTCTCTAGACTGGATGGGGACCAGGTGAAACAGGCTCTGGCTATAGCTGCAGGACTACAGTCAACACAGGACAGTGGAGCAGCCAATAATGAAAACAGCTCCAATGAATAGACACCACTCCAGAACCGACTTCATTGCAACGACGTGAGCAAATCTGAACTAAAAAGAACAACCGGAAAAAAATGACGAAGAAATTGCAATTAGACAGAATGAAAACTCAGAAGTTTAAGTTGGAAGAAGTGCGAATTGTGAGATAGAGCCTTGAAAGACTTATCGAATTTAAGTTGAATAATTGATGTAAGAAATATAGAAATTAAATGGGTCGTTAAATTTATCCGTGCTTACAATTCAGCTGCGTAATATAGCATCAGCATTAGTATTCGCCTTTAAAATTGATTGTAAATAGTTACTTCATCTGTACAGAAGTTGAATGAAACCCACCATTAGTGTGTAAAAATATTGTAAATTATTAAATGTACAAGTCTTATGTAAAAATGACATCCTATCAATACATTTTTTGATTTTCTTTTTTATCTGTTTTTCTGAAATTTTTGCATACATCAACAATTTGTAACAATGCTACAATCATTAGGAGTTAATGAGCGAAGTAATTTATCATATATATAAGTGTATTGTTTTTTTTAAATTTTCTTTTAATAAGAAAAAGTCAGAAGACTGTTCACACTCAAATATGATTTTTGATTTCTTGTAAAATTAAAGTCAGGTTTTCATTTGCTAAAGAAAATAAAATTACTCACGAATAACAAAAATTCAACAGGCACCAAAAAAGAACGCTGGAGTTTCAAAAATGACTTAAGTGTTAGAATTACCAGCTAAGTAAAAAAATTTTTATAATGATCCAGTTGTTTCAATTTGTATTGGTTTTGTGAAAATGTTTCAATCATAAGGTTCATGGAATTCAAAGAGATAAGATAACATGTTTGTTTGCAACTCGAAATAAAAAAAAACACGAAAATGCGTTCGACATTTTCATGCTGGACCAGCGCCTGGAGGTGATCTGCAATAGAAAATCGAAATTAGCTGACTTCTGAAGTCTCATCGCAGTAATCTTGAACGTTGAAAAATCTGCAAGAATTATCTATCACTCGACTTCATATGACGCTATCAATGACGGACATCTATGGTAACGTTTTGAAGACCTAAAGAAGAGCCGAAAGAAAAAAGATCATTTAATTCTGCCGGTAATGTGTATATACACTACTTGCGAGAGCAAGTGTCTTGTAATCAGCAAGTGTCTTGTAATCGGGATCAAGAAACTTTATTGGGATCAGGAACTTGAACCTTCAATCTTGAAGCTTCCTGATTAACTCTGAATAAGTTCCAGGCCTAAAAAAACGCGGCTGCTGTTGCAGTTAATGTTCAGGAGTTCAAATACCAGTTGGACCTTATTTTTTTGTAGTATGAATTCAAAAAATCGACGGAAAATTGAACTAAATTTTGTCTGCTTGTTTTGTCGGAGTTTCATTTTTTAATTCTTTTTTGTTTGTACACAAGAGCAGGTTTTTTTTATTCGCACATTGAAAGCGGTGTACTTTTATGGAGTCAAATAGTTAGCATGGAGAGTTTAGATTTAAGCTCTTCTGTGGTCTTTGATCTATTGTTTGAGTGAGGATTGAGGGTTGATTATTAGGAGTCGCGCTCTTTTCTTTTCCCCCACCTCGCATGAGCTTCATTTTTTATGTTTGAACGAGTTCTTTTACTGGGTCAAAAATGAAGACGTAAATATGCTTTCTATAACCTCAATACTTCATACATCAAGTCGGACCACGTTTCCAAGTCGGATCAAGTTTTTTAACAGTCGAACCAAATAAACAAATTTTTCACTAATAAAAGGTCGCAGGTGGAAGGAAAAAAGCTAAGAGACTAAATACTGTTCAATTCTTTTGTTCAAACAAAGACAAACTCCTCTATAGAATAGCAAACGTGAAAAGGTGACGAAAAACGTGATTCTTTTTTAGTTTCCAAAGTGGAAATTGGTTTTTAGATCTCCAAGTGAAAAGAATTACTAATTGATCTCCAGTGTTTGCAAATTTTGTTATAATGTGTTATCAAAAAAGTGCCTGTCATGAATTGTTCTATTATTTCGAATAGTTTTAAGGGCATAATTTTTTTCTTTGAAATTCGAAATTCGAACTATTTTTCAAAAAAATCATTCTCTGTTTCCTTACGTTCATTGCATTTTTCTAACTGTCAGTCACAAAAAAGTGAACAACTTTTAGTTTAGAATTTGTTTTTAATTTTCAGTTGTTCCACCAAAAAGTCAACTTTACGTTTTGATCCTGTTCCTGTCATTTGACCCAAGTTCATCAAAAAAATAACTATCTCAAATTGCTGTTAAATTTTTTGGAGCTTAAAAGCCATATCTTTAAAATTTGAATTTTTTTTTTCGAAAAAACAAGTCCATTTTTCTGTGTCTTTGCGTTTATTGTTTTTTTCTCCAACTGGCTGTTGACCTTGTTATTTATTCGATTTGTCTTTCCGAAAATTCTGAAAATATAAATTGTTGGCAACAATGCTATAATCAATCAGAAATGGCAATGGGTGGGGCCTGGGCCGCAGTCTCAAAAAAAGTCAACGGGCAGCAATAGGCCGAAGCTTTATCTTCTGGTCTATAGTAAGTACATGAATTTTTTGAATTTTTTCATTTTTATTTATTTATTTTCCTTCTGAACTATGTTTTTAGCAGTGTATAAGCATCCTGGGTGCAACGAGCCAAGAAATTCTTTGCAATGGACTGCTAACGGGCCAAGAAATTCAATCGCGGGCCGCCCTGCCTGGGCAGCAAAATATCGACCCATTGCCATTTCTGGCTACAATAATTGAATGCTGTTGAACAAGGCAACTTATCCTTGAATAAAATAATCAGAATAAAACCGGAAAAATATCACGTTCAAGTTTCAATTTTTGGGCTTGATTGCTGATTTATTTGAAGTTGAACTATTCTCATGAAAAATGAGCCTTCCAGAAGCCCAAAAAAGCACTCAAAATCTAAGAATTCTCAGCTAACTAAAAAAATCTATTAATTCAATTTGGGTTAGTTTCATCAAAAAGTGTTAGTTGTATAAATCTCATAGAATTTAAAAAACAAATAAGAAAGACATTTGTTTGAAACTCGTAAAAAAACACCCATTGTTTTTGTGTCCTTCGCCTTGATAAAGCATTCGAAATTTTTACGCTAGACTAGCGCTAGAAGTTCCTCTGAAATCGAAAGTTCGAGATACAAAATTTTTACACTGTTTTGAAATTTTTTTGCAGTCCGAATCACAAAAATTGAAAAATCTGCTACAATATGAATCACTCAACCTCTTACATCGTATTTAAAAACAAATCTGCATGTATCACGTGAAAGATTCATATAGAGTAAACGAAAGATTAGTGTGCATTTTTTCTGCCTGTTATTTGAATCGGAAATGTACTTTTTTCATAAACATAATTTCTTACAAACCTAAAAGTACCTTTTTTATTGAACCGTAACAAGTTCGAGGCTTTACGGTTCAAAGGCTTTCTTAGGCTT